AAAGGGGGGAGGAAGCATCACAGGGTGTAGACGCCACCCATTACTGCCTCCGGGCTAAGCTGCGACCAGCTCAGGGAGTGGCTCTGACCCACGGACCTCTCCTCCGTAATCGATCATCGCTACTCCTCCTAAGTCAGCACTTTGTAGAGCTGGGTTTCTCTCGCTGCGACAACAACGCGGTACAGCAGGTATTATTCACATTTGCATTTCACACAAGAGCTCACCAAGGTATAGAAAGTGAGGGCATTTGTCCAAGGCCACACAGGCAGGATGTGAGCCCCGCATGGGGGGGTCAGGGCCTGCACGCTGAACCCTGGGTGCCCATCAGCTTTGGGACCCAGGTAAGCTCTCAGGCGGTCCCTTTACTGCCACCTTCAGGAAGGGCACAGGGACCCCACTCTGTCAGTAATGGACTCCTGCTGTATACAGCGTGGCTGGACAACAGTAGAGGCTACGACTTGGAGACTTTGCAGAAGGGCCTCCATGACGATGAGAAAGAGCGAGCGTGGCTGGAGCGTGCGATCTCCCGAGGCGAGAGTCCCCAGTTCATCTTGTTCACTGAGCGCTGCACTGGCTTCTCTGGGTGCTGGGGAACGGTGACAGCCCGAAGGGGCAGGATGAGCCCTGGTCAGGGACTCGGTTTCCAGTCCTGGGTCTGCCCCTTGTCAGTGGCACGGCCTGAGGAATGCTGGCCCTTCTCTCAGGATCTCTGGAGCCAGAGGACTTCTAAGGCCTCATATTCTGAGTGTCTCATCTTCTCAAATAAACCCTGGCTGGGTGGCTCAGTTGGTTGGTGCATCATGCTGTACAACAAAAGCCTGCAGGTTCGATTCCCAGTCAGGACACACACCTAGGTTTTGGTTTCGATCCCCAGTCGGGGTGCTCATGGGAAGCAACTGATCAATGTTTCTCTCATATCAATGTTTCTCTCTCACACTGATGTTTCTCTCTCTCTCTCTCTCTCTCTCTCTCTCTCTCTCTCTCTCTCTCCCTCTCTCTAAAATAAGCAAACATATCCTCGGTGAGGATTTTAAAAAATGCTCAGTGTTAAAGGTGGCATCTAGGAACATTAGAAAATAAATTCCTCTTTTCTGTGGCAAAGGCCCGAGTTCTATCTCATCTCATCACGCCACAGGCTCCTTAATTGGTATTTTTATTCCCCTGAAAATAACCTTTTCAAAAGGAACCTGCAAACTACCACACTGGCCTTTCTGCGGAGAGGATGCTTTCCCGCTGGGCGGCAGGGAGTCACCATTAGCATGAGTTACAGCAGACTGACAGGCCCCTGAGGAGCTTGAAGGCACAGGAAAGCCACAGGGCGCATCTAATCAAGAGACGCCATCTGATCCAAAGACATGAGGACAACTCCACGCCTCAGACACCCTTGGCCAGGGGAGAGTTTTGTGACTTTTTGGTTGTCATCACTAATGGGAACCACAAGGAAACCTTGAGGGGTTCACTTGGCTCTTTCGGCCAACGACTGAGAAGAAAAAAGCTGACTGTTAACAACATGCAATCTGTGTAAAATAATTCAGGGTTCAATCTATCTGAGCTAGGGCTGCTGTCGCAGATTACCTCAAACCTGGTGGCTTTAGGCAGCACTTTATTCTCTATTTCAGACATGCCCTGTGATCTCCCCACCAGAACAGTGACAATGTCTTCTTTTAGGGTAGAGGGGAACAGCAGGCGGTGGGAGCTCAGAGGCCGATGGACCTTTCTGGGAAATGGAAAATGCCAACGTCAGGATTCGTGAAGGAAAAGGGACTTTGGGGATCATCCAACCTAGAATAATAAACAGTTTCTAGTTCTGGTATCAAGTCCAAATGACGGACTGACAGGCAGTTCCTTGGGATGCCTGTGTTAAGAAGGACTCTGAGCCCAGTGGAAGGAGCGCCGCGTCCGTGCCCTGGAGCCGCTGTAAGACGTCTCCACAAATGTGGAGGTTTACGACAGTGGATCCTGCCCTCTCTCACCGTCTGCAGGCCAGGAGCCCGACATCAAGCGCTCCCTCTGAAGGCTCTCGTGGAGAATCCTGCCTTGCACCTTCCAGCTCCTCCTGACGTCTGGTGCCCCTGGGTTGACGGCAGCATCACTCCAGTCTCTGCCTCTGTCTTTACGTGGCTTCTTCCCTTTGTGTTTGTCTGTGTGTGTATCTCTCTCTCCTTTTTCTTATAAAGACACCAGTCATTGGATTTAGGATTCCCTCTAAATCCAGGATAAAATCATTCTGAGATCCCTAACTAATTCTACAAAGACCCTATTTCCTAATAAGGTCACATTCTGAGTTTCTGCATGCACTGGATTTTTGCAGGGGCACTCAAAGCAACCCAGTGCAAATACCACGATGATGCGGCAAGCCTGACACGAATTCAGAGCTGGACAGGGGTAGCCCCATGTCTTCTATCTGCCACCCGATGTCGCCCATGCCCCCAGCTTTACAGATGATGGAACTGAGGCCCAGAGGATGAAAGACTTGTGACCAGGGTCGTATACCCAGGTAATGCCACAGCAGACCAGAACAGAGAAGAGAATACACGGGTGGGGGAGGGGTGGGGGTGGGGTGGAGATGAAATTACTGTTTTAGTTACGGGATAATGGAGAAGGGCATCTTTGTTTTTGAAACCATTGTCCAAGAGCATCTAGATGGGGCTAATAACAATAACGATAATAATAATCCTGTTATAAAACTAAGATCTTTGAAAGAATTGGAACAAACTGACCACTCTGAGGATCAGTGTGTAGCAGACTGTCTGCTTTTTTTTTTTTTTTTGCGCCAAATAAACGGGAGCTCCTCTCAGACTGGTCGTTCTGAAAGCACTGTGCGTACATATGCCTCCTGGTTGCCATGGTGAATGATGCTGATCTGTTGAAATGAATAATGTGAGCGTTGCGAGCGACAGTGGGATTACTCAGACGGTGGCGAGAGAGACATCAGCAGAGCCCAGAGCAGAGGAGGGGAAAAGGCACCATTCCTCTAGCCTGGGTCCACTCTGCCTCTGAAGGCTACGCTCTAACCAGATCTCCGCAAGCATCAGGTAAGGCAGAGAAAGGGCTCTTCTTGAAAAAGGAAATGGCTCTTCCTTTCACACGCGCTTGGAGGAGGGTCAGGCAACAGTCATATGAATAGCTACAAATTGGGGGAATTTCCAAACAGAAGGAGAGGAAGAAAAATAAATAAGGGAGACGGATTTGGTCCTAAAAGCCAAGGATGCTGCTAGCGTCTTGACAGAAAGCTCTTAGAAATGCCTGCTGTCAGGAGCTCAGTCTGCAAAGACAGCCAGGAGCACAGGGGAGGCAAATAGGAGAAAAGATTCATGACAAGAAACAGATTTCTCATCCCCCCTGCTGGAAGGGTTTTATGAAGGCTGCTGCCTCTGCGCCCTTAGTAATGAACTAAGCTCTTTCCCTGCGGTCAGAATCTTATTTATCAAGCTGTGTGGTGTGTTGGGGTGGTGAGGACGGGTGTGTGAGGAGCCCACCGCAGGGAGTGCAAATATTCAGTCTCCTTTGCAAATGACCTCCCCTGGAGGGGTCTGAGCGCACCTGTCCTCCCTTTCATCCCCCATTTTTGTGGGAGGAAATTTCCAGCCAAACAGAAAGGAACTACTCCCCTTCCTGTGCATTTTAGTTCACTGTCATCCTTGGAGAAGGAAAACAAGGACTGAAAAATCACTCAGGTCCCGTTAGGAATACGGACAAGAAAACAGAAGGTTGGAGGGAAGCAGGGAGGAGAGGGAGCAGCTCGCACCAGAAATCGGTCTGGCTTAATATCCAATGCTGTTTAAAACCTGATTGACACGTGATTGACTGTGTTTTACTATGTAATTGCAATAATAAAAAAAAAAAAACAGTCTGTGTTGTACGTGAGAGGAGCAGAGAACAGAGCTGGGGAGACCTGTACATCACCACACGGATTGAACGTGGCTGTCCTGGAATTTTAGATCAGGGGAAAGTCAGTGAAGGGAGAACACACAGAATTAAAGAGAAATGAAAAGGCTTGAGGACGGTGCTCCCTTCCCAAAGCGAGAGGGCTGGCAATCTGAAGAGGGCTCATTTGATTTGTCTGGAAAAAGTGCAATGGGTCTTCATACCAGCATCCCTTTTCTCAGTAACATTCTATTACTAAACCCAGTCGCCTTGCATATGAAAACCCAGAGGTTCAGTGGCTTTGACCCCGGTTCTTACTAGCTGAGTCACCTCAGATTGCTCATCTGTAAAGTGGGGATCTAGCTCAGAGGGTGTGTTGAAGAGTAAAGGGGATTTATTATTGTATGTGGCACCCTGCGCATGACCTGTGACCCAGCCATGGAGCACTGTGGTGGTTACTGCCATTATTAACATTCACAGCACCAGTAGTATTAATTAATAGCAGTTGTACTGGTATGAAGAGCTGACTGTATTGATCTACGAGGCTAATTTCCTGCATACCTTTGGCTTTGAAATAAACAAACAAAACAAGAGCAGAGGCTTTGGGGAGAAATCAGCTGCTCATGAGTGATGAAGCAGATCTCTTGCCATGAGCACAGAACCGGGCGGCAGAATGTTCTAAATGGCTGAGCTACCAGCATTTGGAGCAGAAATTTAGGAGAAGCATCTGCCTGACTTGGAGGTCGCAGACTAGAGCAGGGGACTCTGAGTGTGTCCTGATTTCTCCCTTCAGGGCCTTTTTTTCTTCTTTTTTACGGGTTGGGAACAACATTGTATTCAAAGGATCTGAGCCTGGGCTAGACGAGGCTAGGGGATGTGAGACCATAGTTTTCAGGTCTGCAAGCCACCCGCTTTGGCAAAAAAAAGCCCCGGCGTGAACTCCTGTCCTGCCGTTGTTTAGCGATGCCTAGTTCAGTAACGCTGCCTCTTGGCCTCCATTTGTCTGTCTGTAAAATGGGGGCAATATTAGTCTCCATCGCAAATGTTCCATCAATAGGGGCTACAATTACCATACACAAATAGTTAACGAAGGGGAAGTCACTTGTTACTTTGATTCTGGTTGCAGAATCAGGATGAACATCGAGGTTGGGAACATTTCTTATACGGGAGCCATCATTTCCTGGTCGTCCTCGGAGCCCTGCCTGGAGGACTATTACCATATTATGTACAGGCCCAACTGGAACAGCATCTTCTCTGGCTATCTTCGCTACAGCTTCCAGCACGAGGAGAAGGTGCCTAAAACCGTCAGCAAGGTGGTGTTGGACCACCTCACCCCTTCCACTTTCTACTTCGTGTGCGTCAGCTGCAAGAAGATTACCTTCCCCTACAGGCACTACTGCACCATGTTCCACACCCTGGATAAGAGTCCGCTGTCTGCTGGAAGGCCCCTGGTGGACCCCCAAATCTCCCTGTGGGTCCTGCTGGCCATTCTGATGGCCTGCTTCACGGCTGTCTTAGCGTTCATCTGCCTCCAGTTCTGGTGCGTCCGCTGCCATGAGCCTCGCTGGTCTTACAGAGCCGGCCACACGGAGGAAGCCAATGGGTTGGTGAGGTGGCCAGAGGAAGCCCAGGTGCTGGGCCTGAGGGAGGAAGACCAGCAGCGGCTCCCCCTGGTGGAAATGCCACGCGAGGATTCCGGAGCTGGAACAGAACCCGACCCGGAAGCCGACCAGGCTGCCTCAGATGCTGGTGAAGATCAACCTGCCATTCCGCCTCATTTTGAGAAGTGAGAGGTGGGGAGGAGGCACCCCTCACCGTGTAGCATGAAGCCCTCCACAGAGTAGTTCCTTTGTAAAAATGTGTCTGTAGACAACCCATGCCTCCCCTCAAATGCCAGTGTTCATGTGGACCACCTGGGTGCACAGATGCCCTGTGACAAAGCTTCTCAGGCCGGAGGACAGGTACCCCCATGGTGTGCTAAGGCAGACACGTGGCATCGCTCAGGAGCGTCCATTTGAACGGGGGCGCTTAGAAATGTTAAAAGTTATTTTGATATTTAAGCAAACATGAATATATCATGATGTAGAAAGTGAAATTTGCATGACTTAAATAAAACACAATCAATACTGCAAAAGCAGCTGCGGAGCTGAAGACGGGCTCTCTGGGCTATAGTCTCCGGCAGGAGCCCAGTCTCCTCTGCGGGGGCGGGGGAGGCGGGTGATGGTGGTTTTGAAGACATGTGAGAAAGCTCGCTCCAGAGTGGTTTCCAACTTTCAGGCTATCACATAGCACCTCGTACAGCATTTTCATTTTTTTAAGCCAAATACTATCTTTACAATTATTAGCAAATATTTTTAAGTGGACTCACTTACAAAAATGTGAACATATTTTAAAAGGTAGCATTACATTACTCCGAAAAAGAATACCACCACCCTTCCACTAGAAATAGACGAGACATAAGAATAAACAGACTGAGAACATAATAATAAATTTGACTTATATACTACTGCCACTAAAGACTCCAAGTTTAAGGCCTACTTCCTAATCTTCGATAAAAAGGGAGATTATCAAGCATCGGAAAAGTATTAAGGATGTATTAGCACCAACATAAGTCTTTCTCATGGATATCATCATGAGGTTTGACAGAGAATGGAAAGGAGAGGTGTTTTTACATTGTGAGTCACTTGTTTCTCATACCATGTCTGTGAACTACCTAAAATGCTGTCTGGACGCGCCCCCTGACTTGAGAAAGGTGTCCTGGCCAGCCTGGCTGTTCTGGAGAAGGTATCTGCCCTCTCCCGGCTTCATCCAAAGACCTTCTAAGCCCCGCCTTTAGGGCCAATGGGTGGGAACCCATCTTGATTCATCCTACTTCCTAAACTAGGGCTCCCAGGCCCAGAGGACGGCCTTTCCTAACAATGTTCTATTTATCTAGTTGGCTCCTCTTCTGAGTTCATGTGAAAATGGGGTCAAAGGTGGCCGTTTTTATTCCATCACAAAGAGAAACATTGACTTTCATGTTGTTGTTGACACATTTCATTATTTCAGTGGCATCCTTTAGTCCTTCCATAAACCCCCCCCCCAGGGTAAGAAGTGAGTCTCCTACCCAGGCCATGTGATGGGGGGACTTGGTGAATGTTATTTCCCTGTCGCCACCCTGTGTGTGGAACTGGCATGTGAGCGGGGCAGAGGTGATGTCTGTTTTAATCTCTAATACATCCCCAGCATGGAAAACTGAGCCGTGTCTGGCCAATAGCGAGTGCTTAACAAATGCCGGTTTAATGAATGGCAGGGACTGAAGGTCTAGAACAGACACCACTGGGGAGGGTTAGTTAGTTAGCGTCAGAGTATGTGCCTGTGAACAGAGCGCCAGAGACAGAAGACAGGTTTCTCAGTTCCGGCTCCTGTCAACTGGATTTCCTTCAAACCTTCGCCTTTCCAACCACTCCCAGTCTGCAAATCCCTTATATTTATAAAGCCCAGATCCCGGTATCACAGGACAATACCACGACGGATCAACTGAGAAACAGGCGGTGGGACACCAAGACGAGAAACGCTGTGCATGCACTGCCCCACGCACCTCCCTCCAACGCGCTGCACAGGGTCCCGCCCCTGGTCTGAATGTACCCCCGTCCTTGCTTGTTGTGAGCAAATAAAGAAGAATAAACATGCAGCCATTTCCGCCTGGATCTCACTGCTGCCTCGTTGTCTCCACACCGCGTTTTTTGATTCAGGGAACAGTTTCCTACTTGTTTTTGCTCACTAGTTCTCTTAGAAGTAGGACATGGGCAAGACGACTCACCTTGGACCCATAGAGGTAATAAGGCTGGACGTTGGCAGGTTTATCTCGCTGTGGCTCTTGGGTGAAAGGAATGGCAGTTCGGACAAAACTAGAAGAAAGAGATGGGGCAGGGTTAACTGGGTCCTCACGTTCTTCAGGGGCTGCAATGTGGTGGGAGCCCTTTTTGACCAGGTGGTGGCTGCCTACAGAGGTACTGAATAAAGCTCTCTAACATACTCCCAATTCAACCACTGCCTCCTCCGCATAGATGGGAAAACCATGGTGCAGGTTCACAGGCTTGATTTGGGACTGGTGGCTGCTCAGGACAGTGGGCTGGGCCTAAAAATGGCCTTCTCCGGGGCTCCACCCCCAGGCTGGTTTCTCAAGAGGAGCGTTCTGCAAACTCTTTCCATAAAGGCCCTGACAGCAAATATTTTCAGCTTTGCCTGCCAGATGGTCTCTGTCGCGAAGACTCAGCTCTGCTGGTAGCAGGAAAGCGCCCGTAAACAATAGTAGATGAATGAGCATTGGCTGAGTTCCTGTGAATTTCAAGTGATTTCCACTTGTCACCAAATCATAATTCTTCCTGGGATGTTTTCCCCCAACCATTTAAAAGTGTCAATACTGTTCTTAGCTCATGGGCTGTACAAAAATAGTTGGGAACTAGATGCGGCTTTTGGGCCAAGAAAATTAAAACTCTCAAATCTCTAGAGAACAGGAAGTGCATCTTGATAAGTACATGGGTCCAGGAGCATTTGTGGGTTCCTCCCAGACCTTCCTTTCATTACACACACACTTATTTTATGCCAGGACCTCTAAAAACAGTTTTCCTCCTCCTTATGTACTTATTTTGGACGTGAATACCCCTCACCTCTTCCACAGGTTTTGAGCCTCTGAGGGGCTAAGGGACTAGGTCTTGTTTCTACCTTGGTGCCTGGCCCAGGCTGTGTGCACCTTGGAGGAGATGTGTTCCACTTCATCACGCACGGGTGTGCTCTGCACATGTATGCCTGTTTGCACGTGTGCATTCCCATATGCGGATGTCCTCACAAAGTAGCATCTGATCATGCCACTCCCTTCCTTAAACTTCTCCCAGGTTCATAAATGCTCCCCGCTGATGGGCCTACGGAGCAGTCCCTAGCGCGGTCCTGCGTCCTCCTGCGTCCTGCCGGACCTTTCCTGGCACCATTCCCCATCCCACCTGCTCCACCCTTAGCAGCTTCCTGCTCCTTAGAAACTTTGCCTGGAACCCTCTTCTCTTGCCTTTTTGCTTTATTTACTCTTACTCATCCCCTGCATTGCAAGCACACTTCCCCAGAGGAGGAAGGCTCTCTTGAGGTTTTCATCGCTCCCTGGACTGAAAGAGGTGGTACTGTTCTCTCTCTTGCTCCGTGGGCTTTCTCCCATCTCCCCATTCACTGTTTATCACGGTACATTTATCGTGCGATAGATATATCACTTGATCAGTCGTGCAATTGTTTGATCTAGCCTGAAGGCTCCAAGAGGCAGGGAGATGTCTGCTTGCCTCTGGCACAGAGCCTGCACCCAGGAGGGGTCTGTGAGATGCCTGCTGTAGGAACAAGCTGACACCCATGCGGGGCCTAGTTTGGAGGAGGCAGCTGGCTGCTCCCCAGGCCCGCCACCCCTCAGCCCCGTCTGCACAGGGACTCCCTTACCGGTTGGTGGACCCATTGTAGCAATAGTTGGGGAGGAAGTCGAAGTTCAGTTCCCAGAAGACGTGCAGGGTGATGCGGCCGTAGGGGGCGGACACGTTGTGATTGGCCTCCCGGAACATGGCGTCGAAGCTGTCCAGGGTCATGTGCTTGCACAGTAGCCGGTGCGTGAGCCGATTGATCTCCAGCAGCCACTCCAGCTCCTGGCCAGACAGAGACCCCGCAGCTGCTGAGGACTTACACGCTACTTTGTCCCACTGATTCCTGTCACTCAGGTGAGAGAGCCCCTCACACATCCAACTGCTGACATGGAGACCGGGACGCCGGCAGAGGCAAGTGACAATGCTCCCTTCTTCTGAGAGAGGAAGGAATTGCCAGACATCGCTGAGGGAGGCTGCATGCCTGTCCTAGGAAGGGGACCACAAACCATGCCCAAATCCCCTGTCCAGTCCAGCTCGCTGGGCCCCAGGAGACAGAAGCAGAGTGGATCCTGTAGTTCTGCCCTTACCTACTTCATGGTGCATGAAGTCTGGAATCTTGGTCTTCCAGCTGCCGCTCCAGAACTGAGAGCCCGATTTTGACCTTCTTTTGAGAAATGGCAGGATCTGCTGCCACTACGCCCCATGCTGATGCTACAACAATCAGATGGACCTTTTTCTGGGCTGGGACACCCCAGTCTGCTACAGACAACCCAGCCCCCGCACTCCCTCCTGCCCAGCTTGTCTCTCTTCCCTGTCTGGCCCCTACAGCGGTGTGAGTCTGCAGGCTTTGAGCCAGTTTGTATCCCCCGTGCAGAGCCACAGAATCTGAGTGTCAGAATCGCAAAGCTCCCAGGTGGAGGCGTGGCCCGAGGCCTCCCCCGCCCACGCTCTGGCCCCCAACCCAAGTTAGGGGGGCCTGGTGAGAATGAAAGTGAGTCTCTCTGGTGTGCGGCTGCCTCCTGTAACTGTAGACAACTGAGCTCCATGTCCCCAAGTCCAGCTGGCCCTCTGGCCATCCTACCTCCTGGCGGAGTGTCCCACCTCCTGGCTACACTCTCGTGAGCTGCTCTGCCAATGTGCTCTGGCTTGTATGTTGTAAAACCCTCCTTACTTTTCAAAGGGCTTTCTTAGCAACTTTTTCTTTATTCCAGGCTGTGTACAGGGGCCAAACACATAATCTGGAACCAGAAGGCCTGGATTCATATCCTAAGCCCCGTCACGTACGTCCTGTGTGACCTTGGGCAAGTTCCTTAACGGGCAGAGCCTCCCTTTTCTCCTTCAGGACACACTCACTGAGAATGGGTAAAAATAACAAAAGGAGTAAATGCTAATGAGTTCATTTCTAAGGTCAACAGGTTGTCCTGTTATGGGGAAAATAACTGCACCTAAGGAACCGGAGAACAACTTCTGCTCTCATGTTCTGTGCTCTTAACAGCCTCGCGGGTGTGTCAGTGTTGACAAGGGAGGCTGCAGAAGTGCTCTCGACTCTGTGATGTGGGGGCGGCTGGAAGGGGAGGTCCCCTGTGCCTGCCACCAGCGGTACAGGGGCGTGTCTTTGTGACTTAATCCTAACTGTGGTCTTGACTCAGCAGGGATGTGGGGCTCAGTCCATCAAGGGGCAGAGGGTTTAAAGGGCCACGGGAGGGGTTCAGGTACCTTCAGAGAAGGTACCAGCATTCCACGGTGAAGTTGGTTTACAGAGGAAATACAACACCCAAATGGGTGATTTCTGTGAAATAGTGGAGAGAGCTGTTCAAGGGCAACCAGATAGCCCGGGCGTCAGCCACACGTGACTGTTAGCCAGCTCTGTGGCCCCGGGGAGGTGAGGAGATCAGGGCTCTCTAACTCAGGTACTGAGAGACTGGGTAGGCTCGATACAGGGATGAAGTGTCCCAGGGGGGCTTGTGATAGACCACAGGCAACACAGCCAGCAGACGACAACGTCCAGGCAACGGTTACCATCTGGCGAGGCTGGTCTGGTCCTGCCAGAGCTTCCGCAGTTTGACTCGAATTTCCCCAAATGTTAAATGTTGGCTGGAAATTTCAAATACGCTCTGCAGCCTGAACGCAGCAGGCTGCCAGCTCTCAATTTCAGCCTCAGACCCCTTGGTGGATCTCTGTCCCTGGCTGTGACAAGAAATCACTGCGGTTCTCCCAGCTTGGCATCACGCTGCCTCCCCACCTCAGAACGGAGTTTCTACGGGGGAGGGGAGGGCTCGGGGGAGCACATTCCACGTTTTGTTTCACAGAAGAGGCAGAAACTTCTCAACGGAGGTGAGGAGGGGCCTTCTGACCCTGAAGGAGAGAGGGTCCCTGGGGTCTCCTCTTTAAGGTCTTCCCGGGGAGTGGCTACTGTGGTGGGGGGCGCCCAGTGTCCTCACCTGGGGAATATGAGCTTTTGTTGTTTTGGTTTTGTTCTCAGCTCGAAGAACATTCAGTGCCTTTCAAGGGGTGGGGAGAGGCCATGGACACCCCCACACACCCCAGCCCAGTTTTCCCATAAGCTATGCTCATTCATTACTGGGAAACTGCAAGGCACAGATAAATAAAAGGAAGATGAAAACAAAAATTTCACTGCTTGGAGATAATCACTGCTAACATTTTGGCATAAACAAAGGAAAATCTATTTCTTAAACAGATTTCCCAGAAGAAGGTGTGCTATATTATGGCCTCTTCAAGTCAGCGACCCAGGACTTAGGTGGGCGGTGGGGTCAAGTCCTCTTATGAAATGTTGTGGAAAATTCATCCCGCGAACATTTCATAGCAGGTCCAAATTTCGATGTTCCTCTCATCTGTTTTTCTCTCCTCCATAGGCTATTATTTATTGAGTGCAATGAACTATGCAAAGCTCTTTGCAGCCAGCATCTCATTTCATCCATAACAACGCGAGGAGGTGAATTCTAATGTTCCCTCCATTGTACAGGTAGGGAAATAGGCTTATAGAAGAGAGTAACTTGCCAAGATCACCCAGCTAGTATCTGGCAAGGTCAGGGCTGGACCTGAGGGTCTTCCTGACTCCAGAGCCCTTCTTCTTAATCACTTTTTTTTTTTTTTACTACTTTGTCCACTTGGGAATAAAACCCTTTTAATTTTGACATAATTTTAGACTAACACAAAAGGGACAACAGCAGAGTTCCTGCATATCCTTGACCCTATTTAACCAATGTTAACGTCTTACATAACTAGAGCATAGTTAACAAAAGTGGGAAATGAACACTGGTACAATACTATTAAGCAAATGACAGGCCTTATATGACTTTCACTAGTTTGTCCACAAAGGCCCTTTTTGCTGCTCTAGAATTTAACCTAGGATTCCCACATTGCATTTAGCTGTCTTCTAGTCTTTTCTAACTCCTAATAGTTTTCAATCTTTTGTTGTCTTTTATGATCTGGATGCTTTTGAAAAGTATTGTTTGCTTTTTTTCCTTCTTCTTGGAATGTCATCTGATTTGGATTTATGTGCTTTTTCTCATGATTAGATGGAGATTATGCACTTTGGCAAGAATACCACAGAAAAATACACATCAGGGGATACGTGAATATATCTAACTACTACTGGTGATAGGACCCTTTGATGCTTGGTTAAGAGGGTGTCTGCTGTTTCCCCATTGCAAAGTCACTAATTTTCTATTTGGAGTTAATAAATGTTGTGAAGGAAATCATTTGATATTATTATGCAACTATCCTGTGTCTTTCCAAAGGTTTTTTGGAGGAATTTTTTATTGTGGGAAAATACACATAACATAAAATTTACCATTTTAACCATTTAAAAGTGCACAGCTGTGCGGTGTTAAGTCCCTTCAGGCTGCGGTGCAACCATCACTACCTTCCACCTCCGGAACTTCTCAATCTTGCTCACTGGAAACTCTGTACCCATTAAACGCTGACTCTCCCTGCAACCGCCATTCTGCTTCCTGTCTCCGCGAGTTTGGCTACTCTAGGAATCTCCTAATAAGAGATTATCTCACAATATATTCTACTCGAAGTTCTGCCCACTAATTTTAGCATCCATGGCTGGGTCTTGCCAGCAACAACAATTTTCACGGTGGTGATCAAATGGTGACTTTCTAGTTCCCTCATTACTTCTGTTCATCTGCTTCTGAAAGCATTGCAGTCTTCCTTTGATTCATTTAAAGAAGGATCAATCAAGTTTATTCTAATTCTTGGAGAAAGAAAATTAACAGAGAAGTTCAAATGATGTTTAATAGGAGAAGAAGGTAGGTCAGTGTTTGTCCATCTGGACTATATAATTTGCAGGTCCCCTGGCAAAATAAAAATGTGAGGACCCTTGTTTAAAAAATTATTAAGAATTTTTGGGGGAGGGGGGCAGAGGAAAGTGGTGGTGGGAAGGCAGAGACAAATGTATTTGAACCAAAAAAAAAAAAAAAAGAAAAAAGAATTTTGCCCTGGCTGGGTGGCTCAGTTGTTTGGAGCATTGTCCCGTACACCAAAAGGTTACGGGTTTGATTCCCGGTCAGGGCACATACCTAGGTTGCAAGTTTGATCCTGTTTGGAGGCAACCAATTGATGTTTTTCTCTCTCCCCCTTCCTCTTTCTGTAAAATCAGTAAAATATATCCTTGGGTAAGAATTAAAAAAAAAAATTATTAAGAATTTCAAGATGGCGACCACAGCGCATTAAAGCCAGCATAGAGCCCTCTGAGCCCAGTACCACAGCACACCCATGAGGCCGACCCTGCTGTGCAGCCTCCCCTGGCTTCATAGGACCACCCACTCCCCTGCTCGCTTGGATCTGTGGAACCCTGAAGCGCATGTCCCCAGGTTGGCCCTCTGGAGAGACTGCAAGTCCCCTCTCCACTCCCGCTCTCCAGGCAATCAGGAGGGAAGGATCATTCTCATTCTTAAACCTATTTTTCCTGCTCCATTCAGAAAGGAAAGAGACTCACTGCTTCTCATTAACTGGCCCAGTACTAGGTTCACAACAATGTCCAGTGAGAATCCAGGGCGCCTCGTCTCTTACCACAATGGAGGTCAGGTCCTCACTCTCAAAGCGGCTGATGGCCTGGTCCAAGGACTTATACATCGCAGCTGAGATGCGCTGAGTAATGAGTCTGTTCAAGTCAATTGATCTCCCCAGGAGCTACATGGAAGGTAGAGAGAGAAGAGTCACCTAAGGTGTGCACAGGCACATGACAGCTAAACGCAACGCACCAATAGGAACTTGGATTGAAAGTATAAAGGACATCACTGGGACAAATGGGGTCTCTCAGCAGAAAACAGTATTATTAAATCTCCTGAGTATGGCAATTCTATTTTGATCATGAGAGAATGTCCTGGATCTTAGGAGATAGGTGCTGAGGTATTCAGGGATCAAGTGTCATGTGACACACACAACTTATTCTCAAATGGCTAAGAAAAAAGTATATTCTTTAAAAATATACATTTCAATATATTACTTATATCTATGTATAAATATATTTTATGTATTTACTGTATTTGTGAGAGAGAAAAAACATCCACATGAGAAAGTGAAGCAAATGTGATGAAACATTAATAATCATGAATCTGTTTATAGAGTATATATGTGTTCACTGTATTATCCTTTCAAGTTTCCTATAGTTTTGAAATATAAAGCGTTGAGGGAAGATGCAATTCACTCAGACTGTAGGATGATGCTCAGGAGAGCCTCTGGCATCCTGTGCGATGCCAAAATCCTAGATTTAGCCCTGCGGTTTTTCCTGAGTCAGGCTGCCCTGTGCCCCAATTCACAGTCACCCGGGAATAGCTGCCCCCTCAGCAAGGGCCTACTGCGCACCTTAATGGGGATGAATTTAAAAGCAAGAGGATGAAGGGCTACAGAAAGGAAAATGCAGCTCAAAATAATTTCCACTGGGGAACACATGGGCATTACTGCAGATGCTATGCAGAGAGCAATAAACATTTACTGACCACTTGCAGTGTGCATTGCGCTTTGCTAGGTGCCCAAGGATCATTCTTAACTGTTTAATTTCTTTCTATTTGTCTCCTGGGGGTGAATTTTCTCCAGCTGACTAGGGTGCCCTTAAAGCCACGTCGTGCACACATGAAATCCTCAATATTGAATATCCTGTGGCTAATTCTGGCTGCCTCAGTAAGAGATAGTCACAATTTTCAGAGAGGCTGATGAAAAGCAGTGAGCTCCTGCTGCTGGCAGAGGTGAAACTGTTCTTCCTCTTACGAGTCTCCGCCTCCCTGGGATTTCTCACAGCAACAGGAATGGCCAGGGCTTCCAAGGTGGCTGCCCTCGTCTTCACCTAGAGCATCTTCTCAGCGGAGCCTCTGCCCTCCTTCACCTGCGTCTTTCCCACAAACACCGTGGACCACATAATAAGCACTGAGAGGCGACGGCATAAAGGCCATTTTACCACCGCTCGGCTGCCAGCGGGGCGTAGGAGTAGGAGTAGGGCGCAGTCTGCCGGAGCATCTCTTACTTTGTCTGCCTGGTTCCGTTAACGCTTTTAAGCAGGGATACGTTTCTGAGCTCCTGACAGCATCTTCTCTCCATCTGGGGTCAAATGTTAACAGAAACCAACTTCACGAAAACCAGCCATAATTTCTGTCCTGGGTTTAGCCTGACACGCTTTGTTTTGAAGGTCCCCAGAGCTCTCCTTCCCTTAGGCAGCACCGAGCCTGTTCAGGGGTAGATTTACCCATTTCTGAGTAGCAGCCCCAACCAAGGATGTGGGCTGCAGCTTATGATGGGAAGACAAAGGTGTCAGTTGCCACTGCTCCCCAGAGGGAGCTGCAGATGGGCTGAGAGGCCTAGAACTGAACCAGAGGAAGCCCACTGCCTTTTTATTGCTTGTCGATTCCGAGACTGTGTTACAAAGGTGCTTAGAGGTCCATGCGGGGCAATGTGCAGGGCAGGCAGCAGACAGCCCTGGTTTCTGACCTCCATGCTAACTTCTCAGCCACTCTCTCCTGCCCATTCCCTCCCCTCCTGGCTTCCTCTCACCATTACCTGCACGTGTCTCTGTTTCAGCAGCGTTTCGTAGCGGTTGGATGGCGGGTACGGGATGATGACGCCATAGTTCTTACATTCGGCTCTGAAACGTTTATCCAACAGGACACTGGAAGGGATAGAACGGAAATGAGGCCACCAAACTTGACAGTGAACAGTTTTCAATTGCCCAGCCAGGTCTATTTTAGGCCATGGGATCTACTCATGAAGCACTATCTTATACATTTTAAATATACTGTAATTTTTTTTCTGTTTGAAAGCAAAAGCCCTCAAATTACTTTTCAACCACAAGAGCTCAATATGTGAAACAGCATTTCTAAGAGAAACACTGGCAACACAGAAGTTGAGCTGCTTTCCTCTTTTATTCATTTACCAAAAAATAAGACAATAAAAATAAAAATAAATGAGTGCATGCTTCACATATCCCACAGTCTTTTTCAGGACAGCATGTTCTCAATAGGAAATATTCTGTGTACTAGGAATACAAAGTTCCCGTCCTCATGAAGCCTACGTTGCAGTTCCCTACCCTAAAGACTAGTTCAGGTTTAATGGTCATATTCCCACCTGCCCATGAACTTTTCAGTCACGGGGAGCCCGTGCCCCCTCATCACTGGCGGGCATCACTGTTTATGAATGCCTGTCTTCCCCGGGAGGCCCAGCACCATACCTGCTTTCCTCTCCTATATTCTAGCACCCAGCTCAGGCCCACGGAATCATTCAGACTTCCTTTCACGCTAAAGAAGGAAGGCTCTGCCACAGAAAAACCCCAGGCTCTCATACCTGCCAGCCATGGCTTTGTAGTAAGCAAAGATCTGGTCCGCCAGCTTGTAGACAAACTGATCAAAACACAGGTTCACCTGGCGAGGAGGAAGCAGGAAACGTCAGCGGTGACTGGCCAGCTCTACCACAGAAACTTGGGCAACTCAGAGGGCCGCTGGGCAGCGCTGCCCAGCACATGTGGCAGGGTGAGGGGCTTCAAAGGAAAAAGAAAAAGAAGATTCTATGGCCAATTTAAGCTGGGAAATCTGGTCCCCTGCTCTCAAGGTCCTCAGTGAGGCACAGAGGAGGCAAAGCTCAAAGAGCTGTAGAGGAACCGCACTCCGCACTGGTCCCCTTCTCGGTGTTCCAGGGGCCGGCCCAGGGGGACGCAACAGGTAGGTCTTCATATCCTGTTAATTACTCCTGCCGGCCTCCCCCGGCCATAGGCTTTCTTGTCTTTTCCTTTCATTTTAACCTCACTTTGCAAATAAATAGATAGATGGTCGTTAAACATTTAAACATTGAAAAAACCTATTGCTTAAAAATCTTTGATTTTTAACGAACAAGGGACTGTCTTGCCATTTCAATGTCTCATCACATTGGTGGTGCTTGGGTGGGAAGAAAGTACGTACCAGACACAGAGGATCAAATCCAAATCCCCCAACGTGGTACGAGCAGGAAATGGCCAGGGGGGAGACGGTTTAAGGAGACAGGGTGGTGGCTGAGGCAGGGCGGCAGTATAACATCAAGGGAAACGGATCATATTTAGGTGACTAATCTCGGATTCTTTTCTTACCAAATTCTCAGCTCTATATGGTTAACTCTAATTCAATGAGCTTTCCTGTCTCTTGTTTCATACCCCAAATGTTGTCCTGAACACAAAAGCACAGTGGCGTATCTAGTACTGTCCTCATATGTGGGTAACCAAGGTCTTTGCCCTTGACTTCGAATGTCCAGGGCATTGGGTCTCCCTCGTAGGCAAAGAGCCTGCAGGGTCCAGGTGGTGGTGTCCACTCACACCCCACGATCCTCTTGTAGAGCCAGGTTTGAGGGCCCTTGCCCGCAGGGACCAAGTCCCTTCCAGGCCCTGTGTGCTCCTTTCCCTGGTCCTGTCCCCAAGAGTGGCCTATCCTGCAGGTGTGTGTACCCCTAGGCTGGCCAATGGGCCATTGTTTGAGGGCAAGGTGGTAGACAAGGCTTGAGGATCCACATACATATACATGAGGCCCCTCATGGTGGGGAGCAGGGTTTGGGGATGGGAAGAGAAAGGGCCAGGAGACACAGAGGATAGGTATGCATTGCATTTCAACCCCCAGAGAAACTGGAGGACTTAGAAAGCACCATCTCCACACTCATGCCTTTTTTAAATAAGAATGCCTCATAGTCATATGGCAATTTTACCTAACTGACTTCATTCTATGTTTCTCTAACCCCACGTACTTAAGTAGAACAGGGGCTATCATTCCAACTGCCGGAAGGCAAAACTCAGCCATTAGTGCCTTTGATCTCCTGTTTCTCTTCCTGCTGGCCCATGGTAGGACTGCGCATCCTCGTTCCTCTTTGAAAAGAGGCACAGCCATGCGACTTGCTGTGACCAATCACATGTGTCACTTTCAGGTGGAAGCTTTAAGTATCAGAGTGTGTGAGTCATCCTAACCCTTCCCCCGCTAGGGCAACCAATAAAAACATATTCCAGATGGGTCCCAGATTGAAGACTGCCTGGAAGAGGGCTCCGGCCAACCTATAATGCAGACATAAGCCTTTGGTTTCAAGCTACTAAGAATTTTGGGTGGGTTGTTACTATATCGCAACCTAGCCTATCCTGACCATATCAGAAATAAAGCCATTGAGCGACTCTCTGGTAAATGGCTGAGTAGCGGAAAGGAGGGCTATATTTCAGCCTATCAGTGCTAGACAGGGCCTCTGTGACCTTGGGTAGTGACACTTGACTCATTTTAAGTCTCAGGTTTATTACCTGTCAAACATAGTAGCATATACTTCTTTAAGTTGTGGTAAAGATTATTTACAATGTTTGTATAGTGCTTATGCTGTGCCTAGCAAATGATAACTATATAATAATTGGTAAGTGTATTACTGTTATTATTATTAGCCAAGTAATTCATCCATAAAAAACCCATTAGAAAAGTAATTTTACCCAAGCAGTTCTATCATTTGCCATCCCTTAAACATTTGAAAAAGGACCATCATCCTGGTCTAGGTCCTTTGTGGGAGCACTCTCTAGAACAAGTGATTGCTCCCCCATGTTATGGTCTCCCCCCATTCATATGTTGAGATCCTAGCCCCCAAAGGTGGTGGTATTAGGAAGTGATTATGTCATGAAGATGGAGCCCTCATGAATGGGATTAGTGACCTTATAAAAGAGACCTCCCAGGAGCTCCCTTATCCCTCTCACCATGGGGGACACAGAGGTCTGTGACCCAGAAGAGCACCCTTACCCCACCATGCTGGCACCCAATCTCAGACTTCCAGCCTCCCGAACAGTGAGAAATAGATGTCTGTTGTTTATAAGCCACCCAGTCCATGATATTTTGTTATAACCCGAATGGACTAAGCCACCCCACTTTGTGCCAACAGCTAAAGATGCGGAAGGTCCAGATTCAGAACAGGATTATGGGAACAAAAGGAAAAGCATGTCACTTGCCTCAGCCTCGATCTCATCATATAGAAACTGTTTTTTAAACTTGGTCAGCGCATAGTAGGCACTGTCATTGTACAGATCCAACGGGTAGAGGACGTACCTAAAGAAGAAAAAACAATGGTAGCTTACTAATCATCTCTCTTGCAGCAGGTAAATTTATACCTGCTTGGGAAACATGAAAATCTGGATGAAAAGATAAGCAAGCTCAGAGAAAGGAAAAGAGAACCTTCCAGCATTCCATGTTTCTAGCCTCCACTTAGGAATAACTTAGTTCACAATCTGCCCATAGAAATGAAAAGTCCATGATGCTAATACATCCAAGGCCTGAGAAAAATTAGCTTCCCGATTCCCCAGAGATGATCATTTTCAAGGACTGACTGTTAGGAGGCTGACAAAGGATAGGAAGGCAGATGGGCTGGCAGACTTCTGAGTCTATCTGCAAGGCTGAGTCAAAGTTGGTGTGACCGGATCCTTGGCCGGGCACAATGCCTCATCTGGAAGGTTCTGGAGAAAATAGAGCTTGCTGGCAACAAGCCTCCACCCCAGGAACCTCCTGCTGGCCCAGTCCTGCATCTTACTCCATCATGGAGGGCTCTTTGGTTTCCAGGATGTGGTCTGTTAGGATCCAGGGCATGGACATCTCAATAGGAAACTGGATTCGCCGGCCCATGGTCAACTCCAGGAAGAATTCGCGGAACCAGAGCTGGGAGAGGTCACAGCACTGCTGCAGGGCTTCTGGGAAGCATGAGGGAAAGAGCCTTGGGTCACAGGGGCAGCAGCAAAGGGTCTGAGAGCTTATTGTTTTTATGACTTTTTATTCTTATTCTTATGGCTATGTAGGTACACAGCTGGTCCTCGCAACTATGACCCGATCAGCAGATCCTGCTTTCTTGAACTTGAATGCCAGGCTAATGTCTATGTAGAAGACAGGGTTTGTTACTCCTCAGGGACAGGGACAGTGCATGGGGAAGGAGGTAGTGACGTTTCAGAGCTTTTGAAGCCCCCACAACTTCTATCACCCCCTCCACAAAGCCATCCTGAAAATACTTGCTATACAAAGTGTCAAGACAGGTCTCCAGGTGTCTGCTTTTAACTGGACTCCAGCTCTGTGACCCCTTGTACGTGATAATTCCAAACTCACTGCTCAGAGGCCTTGAAGGCCCCCCCTAGGGTGCTCTCTATGAAGAACTTTGGACTATTGGTTAAGGTCTCTCTTCAGTACCGACAGATGCACTACCACTCCCAAGACCCTGGAATGCTGCTCTCTCTATACTGTGCCCTCATGCACCTGCACATGCATCCTACTAACAGGAGGGGAGGGGTGGGGGACACAGAATGGGGGTGCAGCCTGGGAGCCTCCTTTGCTAGGAGGAATGAGCAGTAATTGGCTCCGAGCTGCTGCTTAGAGGCAACACTGACCTAGGTGTGCCTGTGAGCATATTGCTGTTTCTGATCCCCTCTACTAAGGACTTCATGACAAATTAGTCACAAATGTCTACCAGACAGATATTTCCCAGTCAGAATAGCTGTACTGAGCCTGGCCTTTCCTAGCTCCTAGAGTCCACCAGAAACTGTGTTTTTCCCTCGGTGGCAAAATGTGCCCCTTGGGGTGAGTGATCATGTCTCTTTGCAACTTCTAGCCCGATAGCTAAGTGGCTCTGGGACCAGGGAGCCTCCCCACCAGGCACCGGGGCTCACCACTGATGTTGAGCAGGTGCGTGAAGAAGAAGGACTGTTTGTGGAAGTCTTCTATGGCGAGGACAATGGGGCCGTCGAGGCTGCTCCTCAGGGTCTTCTTAGAGCCGCTCTTGTCTGCGATGAGCGATTCGAGCATGGTCCGCACCATGTACAGCTTAAAAAAGAAAGACGGGCAGGTCAGGGGCTGGCCCTCCATCTGGGCAGAAAGGCTGCTCTGAGCTGCATTTTTATATATGTATATATACAATTGTTTTTTTCTGTAGATGTCTGCCCCTAAAAAGCTTTGCCTTAGGAAGCACCAATTTTAGGGTTGGAGAAGCGAATTTGGAACATGTAAACTTTCAAGAGGGAGGCTGCCCAGCCCAGGAAGGCAGTTCCGTCCGGGGCCTGCGGCATCCCTGGGTGGGTGGACCAGGTAAAATCAAATTGTTCAAGGCCCGGGCTCCTGCCTGCTCCGCTCGGCCAAGGGCGTGGGCATCAGAGGAAAACCTCAGTCCACGCCACTGCGAGGCCACTCTCTGCTTTTCTGGACAGCCACCGCGGCACCATGGCTGGAGCATGGGCCTGACAGTCAAAAGAAGGGAGTCAAGGCCAGGCACTGCCGCTGACTTGCTGTGTGACCTTGGGCAACAGAGTTCCACTCTGGGCCTCAATTTTCTTATCTGCTACCAGGAGGGGGTTGTGCCAGACAATTTCTCAAGCCCCTCCCTTTCAGCTCTGACATTCTCAGGAACTGTGAAATGGAGTATGATTCGAACAAGCCCCCCACCACCTCAAGTGTCTGACCCTCAGCATTTTGAATCCACTCCTGAGGGATTTCGCCCTCTGGTGGCACCAGCTGCATGGCACAGCCTGCCGGAATCCTGGGTGGAGAGCGGGTGAAGGTTGGTACTTACACAGGAGCCTACTAGACAATTAGCTCCCTCTTACAGAGAACCTTAAGTGCAAAGAGTACAAGGGCTAATCTAGATCTTTCCACATCATTTGTCTTTGAATGTTAGGGCTGGAAGGGGCCTCGAGGAGCCAGGCTAGTCCATTCCTGCTGCCTCCTGGAGAGGTGCACCCAAACCAACCCCGCCAGGCGGTGTGATACCAGGGATCGGCAGCCTCTTCGGCCCTGTGTGCCACCAGTGGGGTGAAACAAAGCCCGCGGGGACCACTGGCAGGCCTAAGACATAGATGGGAGAGAGGAGGAGGGAATGGGAGGGCAGGAGAGACAGGGAAGAGGGAGAGAGAGAAAAGAGAGAGAGAGAGAAAAGCAAGAGGTATTGTATACGGTGGGAAAGCCATCACGACTGCTAGGGGCCACTTGCCGACCACCTCTGCGATGCTCCAACCTCCCTCTGCCACCACGTCCGTCCTTGCTGCCTCTGGGCCTCCACTAGGCTCTCACCCGCCATGCGCCTGGCACTGGGCCGGGCAGCGTGGCCACAGAAAGGAGTGGCGCGCCATCCCTACCACGGCCGTCCCTTTACGTAAAGGAGCTGCTACTGTGGTTGCCAGTTTCTCAGATCAGATGTCCACCCTCTGCAGCCCTGTCGGTGGGCGTATCTATCAGCCCTAGGAACCAGGAAGCGTTGTTCTAACGATGGCCTTGGGAGGCCTTGGAAAAGGATTCTCTAAGTCCATCCATGTGGGCGCTGACTGATTTGTACCAAATCCTGTTTGAAAATCTGCTTTGTCCATGAGAGGGGGAACTCTTTTCCCGCGTACTTTTACTGAACAGAGCATTTCAGTCGCCAGCACAGCCACGCCGACGTCCCAGCTATGCTAGACGCCCATGTCTACTGCGCTCCGAAGGCTCCGGCAGAGCCCGGGGGTGGGAGTCAGGAGACCTGGTTCTTGTGCCACCTCAACCTGTCACTCACCTTGTGGCTTGGACAAGTCACTTCCCCTCTCTGGACCTCAGTTTCCCTATCTGTAAAATAGGGGGACTGGGACTAGTTTGTCTCTAAGGGTTCTTCCAGCTGACTGTCTAGGAGCCTATTAAATGCATCTGTGCCACCTAATATGACTTGGGGGTGCTGGGGGGCTCATTGTCGGTGACATTTGCCTTTCGCTTGTCTGTAAATAGTCTTCCTCTCTCTCTCTGTCCTCTACTTCTCTCTTTCTCCCCTCTCTCTCTCTCCTCTCCCCTCTTTCTGCCTCCAGCACAATCCCCGCCTCCTTCCCAGTTTCTCTTTTGCCTTCTCTGTCTCTCCCTCACTCATGCCTTAGGACTTGCAGAAACGCCCGAAGCCCTGCTCAGCCCCTCCAGGGCGTTCTGGGCTAGAAAGGTCTCTGGCCTCTAACATTGCACAGAACTACTTGTCGAAGCGTCCTTGGAACATTCCACAGCCAGCCGGCAAGATCAGTGCAAGCTGGCCCACAGGTGGTGAGGCCAGGGACACTAACGATGACAGTGATGAGAACACACCTTGCCCCTGTCCCTCCTCCCCGTCCCCCTGCCCGGACACAGACACACACAGAGTGAGAAGGGTCAGGGGTGGGGCTCAGGTGGCTCATCTCAAATGATTCAAGAACTCAGGACTTCAGAGTGGAGAGAGGCTTACAGGTCAGGTGGAGCGGGAGTCCCAGCCTGGGGCTTCTGGGCCTGTAAGACCCAGAAAAGCTGCAATGGAGCCACAAGCTTTCCCCCCAATACCTCAGAAAGCCTACCAGAAGCAATTAGCCTTTAAGTAGGTGGCAAAGGCTCAACTAAAATGCCCAGGTTCTTTCATTTTTTTCCCTGTAATCTTACAACTGCTTTGGATGGCCCACGGGCAACCTGTTGTAGGTCAGAAGCTCCAGTCGGAAACTCAGAATATCTCTGATTACTAGGCTTTCTCTAAGGGGTCAAGGGCTTTTGATACTTGTGCTTTGGGGGGCATGGGAGGATTAAAAAGGGTATTTTATCAGTACCATGATCTCATCCAAAGTTTTCATTTAATGAAGAAGATAATCAGAGCTCAGAGAGGTCAAGGCACTTTCCCAAGATGACACAGCAAGTCAGAGGCAGAACTTGTGAATTCCCAAGCTAGGATGTCACTGCAGGGGAAGGGGCTGGGTTCATTAAAGAGGGACAGGACAGATGCATATAGATTCTACTTTAAACTCTTCCTACACTTTGGAACCAGTCCTGGTATTACCCCCATTTGCCAGATTAGACAACTGAGGCACAAAGAGAACATCTAACGTGCCCAAGGTCACACAGGTATCTAGGACGAGAATCCAGGTCTCCTGAATCTTAAGCCAGTGGTCCTCCCTCCTATATCAAAACAAGATGGTAGAATAAGACTAGAGCATCTGCTTGACTCTGCCCCTCCTGCCTGAGGACCCTCGGCCCCTATGCCCCATGGCCTAGCCAGGATGACCTACCACGGCCTGGCTGGCCTCTGAGTCAGCCGAACTGGCCTGTGCCTGGGGCCACTTACCTGTGTACTGGAGGGCCCCACAGCACGCCGGGGCACCTTGATGTCAAACCCGCCTTTGGGATCCTTCTCCCCTCTCAAGCATGGGTCATTGGGGGGCTCTCGGCCCCCCTCCCAGTCACAGATGGTTTTCCGAATTGCCTGGAGGACACTGGGAAGGAAGGACGGAGGCTCAGATCAGGTTTTCCCATGAGAAGCGGGTAAACACTGCGAGCGTTTCTAGAGTCTGTGGTGTCCCAGGGCCACTTTCCTAGAATTCCTGGGGTGCCTGTAAAAGGTGCTCATCCTGGGCCCCACCTGCAGAGGTGCTGGCTTAACAGATGTGAGGTGCAGTCCAGAAATCTGCATTGTACAAGGGCACCAGGCGATTGCAGCGCCCGCTGGCTGGCTGAGAACCCGGCTCTGAGCCTGTACGGTGGGAAGGGGCTTGGGTCGGGCAGGATGGCTGTTTCAGGGTTTGGTTATAGGAGAGTCTCATTAGTCCAGTTAAATCTCTGCACATTTAAAGTTTTAATAACAGTTTACGTTTGCTGCATACTAACTCCATGCTGCTGCGTGCTTAGGTTGACACGTGGATTATCTTACTCTCTTACCCCAACAACAGCCTATGCGGTAGGTAGGGACCATTATCAACCACATTTTACAAATGAGGGGAAGTGAGCTTCAAGGCAGGTAAGTAACTTGACTGAGTTCACATAACTGGACCGTGGTGGGTACAGGCTTCACACCCAGAGACTGAGGGCTGATTCATCTCAAATGCCCTGTCTCTTAACGAGGCTTCCTGGAACTCACTAGAAGGATCTGTGTGTGTTTAGAAGCTGCCCTGGAAGCTGACTGGGCAGGGAGCTTCCTCTGCGTCCTGCGACCTGTACTGCACCCCTGATTTATGCCCCTGAAAGGGGCCATTCGCAGACCCACCTGATAAGCACGTTCTTCTTCTTCCGCACCGCCTGCCTCAGGGGCTCGCGCAGCGTCACCTGGGCGAAGTCTTGCAGGGCCGCGTAGATGGTGTTCCTGATGGCCTGGTTGAAGACGCTCTCCATCCTGCCCATGAGCACCTGCAGCCCTTTGATCATGGCGATCACCTGGCCAAGCACAGATCAAGGTCAGGCTCACCGTGCCTTGGCACACCTGTCTGTCCAGTACGCTTCACCGCAGCGCGTGATTATAATTGGTCTCCTGCCTGAAATCATACCCCGAGCCCCAGACCATTAAAATGCAGCCCGGAGACGTGCGAAAGAACGACTCGAACCCCTTAGATGTGTCCGGCCCTTCATGGCTTTCACAGCTCATCCACATCATTATCTCCGTTGACAACTATTGTCTGATTCTCAACAAAACCCTGGGATGGAGTGGGCAGAGATTACCGGCTCCATTTCACAGATAAGGAAGCGGAGGCCCAGAGAGAGCAAGTGACCCGGGGCCCAATGCCAGTATCCAGGTCTCTGATTCCCAGGCTTCAGATGGTCATGAAAGAGGGAGCTGTCACTCACACCTTAGCATGAATGAATTTTCCTCCCTCAAAAGAGAAATAGCCTTTTGCAACAAAACAAACAAACAAACAAACAAACAAAAATTAGAAGGTTATAAGCCACAAAATAAGAGTCTCCCTCCAGAAATTACTATTAATGGTTTGGTATATGTAAATATAAATACGTCCTTCAGTTTTGGGCAAATATGCAAAAGTATATTTTTACTATAAATGAGGTTAGTTTTTACATTCTGTTCTTTAACCTGTTTTTTTTAAACTTAACAATACACTATGCATATCTTTCTAAGTCGGTTCATCCACTTTAGTGGCCACATAGTATTCAATGACACAGCTGCACCTACATTTATTTTTCCTGGTCCCATGCTGAAGGACATTTCAGTTGTTTTACATACTTTGGTATTATAAACAATACTGTGATAAATGCCTGTGAGCATATGTCTTTGCACAGGTGGCTTATTTCTCTGGGACAAATTCCCAAAAGGCCTTCTGAGCCAAAGGGTATGCATATTAAATGTTTGGGTATTTCCCATCAGACTAAAATGTAGACAAGCCACCCAAAGTCTCCGAGAAGGTCTATTTCCTGCACTTCAACAGGGATCACTGATCATCTAAGACTTTGCCATCCTGACTGGTCAACAACACTCTATCTTCTTAGTTTTAATCTGCGGTTCTCTCTGAATACTCATCTATTTGGGCATTTCTCTGATCGCTTTCAGAGATTTTGTTTGTTTGTTTCTTATGTTGGTTTCCTCCTGCCCATTTTTCTAGTGAACACTTTTCTTTGGATATTTAAGAATAAAATGAGAGTCTAATCATTTGTGAATAACCAGACAGCAATGAATTCGGGTGGAGAAGGGGGACAGGGACGTGCATGTACGTGAGGGGACCAAGGCTGCTGTCCTGCTCAGGACCGCTCCCTCCCGCGGCCACCGACCCTGAGCAGCTGCCCTGCGGGCTGGAGGAGACGCCGGGAGGTCAGCACCCACCTCCACGAAGGCGAACTTCTCCTCGCTGGTGTAGTTGTAGCGCGTGGCTCTCTCATACTCCTCCGCCGTGCCGGGGCAGTCCTTGTTACAGAACTTGTCCGTGGGGTGAACCAGCTTCCAGGAGTACTGGGGAGATGGAACAACCCAAAAGCCCATCAGGGGCGGAATGGATAGGCCAATGGGTATGACCGTACCATGGGAGGAAATAAAATACAGATTCATTCTGCAACACGGAGGGACCTTAAAAACTCAAAGTAAGAGGAGCCAGCCACAAAGGACCACAAATCATAGGATTCTACTTATAGGAAACACCCCGAATTGGAAAATCTATAGAGACAGAAAGTGGATTGCTTAGGGCTGGGGAGACAGGGCCTGGGGGTGGGGGCTGATCGTATTTTTGAGGTGATGGACAATGTTCTAAATATGTGATTGCACAATTCTGTAAATACACTGAAAACCAACGAACCTACATTTTAAATAAATGAATGGTAATGATATGCAAATTATATCTCAATAAAGCTGCTAAAAACACAGTGCTTGGGGAGAGGCAGGCAGATTCCAAGCAAACAGAGGTTGGTCTGAAAGGGGTGGGGCTGGGGGACACCTACCACCTCCATGACGTGGGCACTCCACTTGGACAGCAGCTGCAGGCCCCTCAGGGCCAGGTCGAAGAGCTCGCGGTACTCCTCATCTGACTTCTGGCTGTCCAGCCCGGAGCCCGTCACCACCTGGGGGACATCAGCCGTCACCCTCATCGCCCCTGTCCCTGGCACTTTCACACATCATTTCATTGATTCCGCCGAGAATGCTACAGGAGGTGCTATGATATATGCCCTTGACAGGTAAACTGAGGCTTGGACTGTGCCTTGCGGAAGGCCACTTGGCTTGTAAATGAATGGCTGGGGGTTCACACGCAGGTGGAGAGAGGCGGCGCCCGCTGCAGCCGCCCTGGCGTATCTCAGAGCCAGGCTTTCCGACGTCTCTGACTGCAATTTGCAGGAGGAAATGCGTCCTACAGACTCAGGAACACATACCTACCTAGAGATATTACATATATACATGAAACATTTGGCACAAAGCAACTCTACTCTTAATACATGGGACTTCCTTTGATTTGCTGTTCTATTTCAGATAAAGAGGCTCATCACATACCTCTAAATTGATTTCACAACTCGTTAATTAGACGTGACTGACCGAAAAGCACTGGTGAAGGCAAGCATCTATTTGCATGTGTAATGTTCCACAATGAAATATAGTATGTAAGCATACATGTGCATAGGCATGTGTGTGTATGTGTGTATGTGTATATTTGCACATACATACATAAACATATAGAGACAGTTCTCAGTATTTGTGGATTCTGTATTTGTGAATTCGCTTACTTACTAAAATTTATTCATAACCTCAAAATGAACACTTGCAGTGCCTCTGTGGTCATTCACAGACAGGCACTGAGGGACAAAAAATTTGGGTCAGGTCCTCAGCTGAGACTGGACAGGGAGAGGCTCTGCCTTCTTGTTTCAGCTTCCACACTGGAAACAAGTGTCCTTCCCATGGTTTATGGACCTGCCTGGTCCTCACCCACACGGGCCTCCATCCCAGCTGCCGGAGCGTGCTCACCTCACTGTTGCTGTAGCGAGCAAGTTCCGAGATGAAGCGGATGTGGTCGTCCCGGATCTGCACCATCTGCTCGCAGATGTTGTACTGGGGGCTGATGCTGCTCTGGGTACACGTCCACCTGGGCAGAAAATCACAGGGTCGGACAGGTCCTGGTCTCAGCCACATGGTGGAACAGGCTCCTTCCACTTACATGCTGCTCCTAGGACCCGGCCAACGTGGCCGGCCCCCTGGGTAGAACCAAGAGGTAACCCAGCATGAGCAAGACAGCCTGCTCATCCCACACTGTGGGGCTCACGGGCTGAGCGGACCAGCCTTTCCTCCTCCTCTGAGACCCAATCGCAGGCTTTTCCAGACAGCTGGTGTCTATGTACTCACCAGTTACAAGAGCGAGAAGGGGCCGGCAGCCTCTCTAAGGCTACAAAAGGTTGGAATCCGTGCAAAGGAAAAGCAAGATGGGTGACCTCCCAAAACCTGTCTACTGTGGCTGAAGCTGGCTTTTGAGGGGCCGTTGGGGAGGGACTGAGGAAACCAAAAGGGACTGTGACCTTTCCAGCAGTGACCTGGCAACATGCATGCAAGCACAGCATGGCAAGGCATGCCACGGTCATTGTCTCTCTCTCTGGCTCTCTCCTTGCCTCTCTTCTCCTTCCCCTCCTGTTTCTCAACTCTACTTTTGAAAGAGATCATGCAAAAATCACCCTACCCTGGAGAAAAGATGCACGAATGAAAATCTTCACTCTCCTTCCTCAAGGGAAAAAAGTCGGCCCCCTTTACCCTCTTCTACCATCCAATGCTGGGTGGCCTGGTAGACAGGTTAAAAGCACAGCCACCCAAGAAGGCAGAGAAATGTTTTGGCAAGAATTTAACATTTCACGGCCTGCAAACCAAAGGGTCTCCAGTTAGATTCCCAGTGTAGGGCACATGCCTGGGTTTCGGGCCAGGTCCCCCATAGGGGGCGTGTGAGAGGGAACCACACATGGATGTTTCTCTCCCTCTTTCTCCCTCCCTTCCCCTCTCTCTAAAAATAAAAATAATAATAGCAAATCAATAATTAATAATAAAAAGAATGTAATATTTCAAAAGGAGCCCTGAAGTGGCCCTCACAAATACTCAGGACGGCGACGCACTTCTTCACGCTTATACTTGGCTTTCGTTTTGAGTCACCAGTGTAAGGATGGGGACACAACCACTCCGACCAGATGCCCACCCAGGCCACAGCACCGTGCCCGACCAACTGCAGGTGGTAGAGAACGTCCATGCAGAAAACGTGAGGAAAGGAGTCCAGCCTTCTCAACTCTGTGCTTTTCCTAGAGAACCTTCCCACACACTGGCAGCCGGCGGGTTATAAAGAGACTCACCCGGCTTTTCTTGGCAAAACTCAGTCACAGAGGCTCAAGGATGGTTGCCCCACGCCCCTTTCCCATGGAAAGGTCAAGATCACTCAGCTTCGGAATGAGATGCCGGCAGAAAAAAACAATCTCTTAACAACCCCACTGATAAAGGCTGTAGCTGGACGTGCCCCTACTCCCATGAGGCACTGACACCCCAGACTGTAGCCCAGATTCCCTAGGATGGAGGTTTATAAAACGGCCTAAGGTGAGGCCATCGACTGCTGTACCTATTCAAACCATACAGTCCACGGTATACTTACTGCACGGACACAGAACCTGAGGAGAGAAGTGGGGTGATGAAGAAGGTGTCATCTTGCTCCACCGGACCCCCGAGGGCCGGCCGTTCCTCCCCCTTCTCAAGGAAGGAGGACTCCTGATGCCCCAGGCGGCTGGGATAGAGAAGGGGCGTGGCTGTGCTCTGAGCCCTTTTGAACCCCAGCAGCAAAGGGCGGGTACAAAAGGGCTCGGAGCACCCTCCGCTGCTCCCCTCTGGAATCCGCCTGCCCAGGGCTCTGGGGAGGGAGGAGGGGCTGAAGTGGCCCCTCGCCCCCTGCCCGGGCTGGGCGTCCTCGCGGGAGCCGAGAGACATTACGGCAGGCACTCACTTGGACTTGTTTTCTTCATAGTGAGCACTGGTCTTAATGTATCTGGCCAGCTCTATCTGCATGTCGCCGAAAAGGGGCACCACCTGCAGCTGCTGCAAAGGAAGCAAACACAGCGCGTGAGACACCGAGCGGGCACCAGGCAGCTGCCTTCCACCAGGGGAGGCGGCCTCCGTGTGCCTCTGGGCTGACCCCCAGTTCCTGCTTCCGATGAGGCTTCCATGGGACCCTGGAGCCAAAAAGAGCCCCAGCCACCGTACAGGTCCTCTGCCTCCAACCAACCCCATGTTCCAGCAACTCAGCCCAGAGAGGCAAAGTGGCTTGTCCAAGGTCACTCAGCAGGCAGAATGGATGAAGGATGAGGACCAGATGGCCTGTGTCCAAAGGCAGGGTCCTTTCTGCTCTCATTTTCCTGGGATTAGACGATCCTTGCTGCCTGGAACCCTGGACTAGGAGTAGGTGCCTCGATGCTGCTGGCTGTGCACAGTGTTCCCGAGAAAAGTAATGGAAATCATAACATCGAACACCAGAGGGCAGACAAGTCCCATCTGAAGACCAGGACAGATGGAGGGGAGGCGGGCATTGACTCTCTGCTTCTGACACAACAGGCACGTGGCCAAGCACTTCAAAATCAGAGGACTTCCAGGCCAGTGAAAGGACTCTGTACGGCACCGTAACGGTGGATATACGTCATTCTACATCTGTCAAAACCCGCAGAATGTGCAACGTCAAGCGTGATCCCTAATGTAAACCATGGATGTTGGGTGACAATGATGGGTCAATGCAGGTTCATCAATGACAACAAATGCACCGCCCCAGTGGGGAATACTGATAATGGGGGAGGCTGTGCTTGAGTGGGTGGGGGGGAGCGGGGGGTAAGGGAAATCTTTGTACTGCCTGCTCAATTAAGCTGTGAACCTAAAATTGCCCTAAAAAATAGTCTTTTAAACAAACAAACAAAATAGTATCTCAATCCACACAATAACCTGTGAGGTCAGTACTATTATCATTCCCATTTCAGAGGTGAAGAAGCTGAAGCTCAGAGAGCATAAGTGATTTTTTCACAAAGTCAGACCAGCTAGAAGTGAAGGGGCAGGATTATGACCTAGGACTCTGATTCACCTACAATAATCCCACGGACCCCCCGAGGGGACCCCATACAGTGGGTCCCTTCGCATTCGCATGAGGCCAGGGACGCAGTCTCAGAGGTTCCATGACTTTCCCGAAGTCATCCAGCTAGTACGTGGCAGGGTGGGACTAAAGCCCGGCCGTCCTAGGCGATGCGGTATCCGCGCCCTCCGCCCCGTCTCATCAGGCTGATGAAGGCAGAGGCAGACTTCGCAAGGGTCTCCTGCGATGAGATCTGTTTTCATTAGGGGCAGCGCCAGAGAAAAGTGACAGTTCCAGCCTCAAAAAGCAGCCAAGGCACAGAATGTCTTTTGGTGGCTTTTCTCCCCATAACCTCGCAGAGCCGGGGGGTCGTAGGCCCAGCCTGGCATCCCTGTGTCACACCCGCAGGTTCTGCTTTGAACTTTCGGCCTGGCTTTTCCGCGTCTGGCCTCTGAGGCCCCAGCCCATGCTCACAGCGCCCAGCGCTAGAGTCAGCTGACAACGTGGGATTCAATTCCAAAGTAGGAAGTCTCTTGGCGAAAACCTCAAAGGCTTAGCCTAATCGCAATGTTTTATTTGTAAAGATTTGGGGTGAGAAGCTGAAATCTCTGGGGCACCGAACGGACTGAGTATGGGATGGGTGCTCTGTGGCACCTGTCCAGAGGCGGGGGCCGGCTGAGGTGCTGCTGGTGGGCCGGGGGGGGGGAGGCTGTGATTTTACAAATGCCAATCAGTGTAAAATCCAGTCTGATCCCTCTGCTTCTGTGAGCTCTGAGTGACGCTGAAAAATAAATAAGGTGCTGTCTTCTGGGATGGGCCTTTCTTTATATGGCAGAGGATTACAGGAAAGGGAAAAAGTAGGATGCATACAGGATCGTGATGCCTCCCAGGCAAGTCCCAGCCGAATCCTGGGACTTGAGCAAGTGTGACGTCCACAGGACCCCTCCACGTGCAGATTCCTCTGCCAGCGGCAGCGGGAAGCTCTGCCATTCTATCCTCTCCCTCCTTCGAGGTACAGCCCCACCAACAAGCCCCGCTGCTTGCTGTCTAATCTCATTTCTTTCCCCTGAGAGACCATCCCTTAGCCCCTGCCCAGCCCCACGCGCTGACCTTAAAGAATTTATCGATTTTGCTGAGGTTGATTCTCTTCTTGGCATCCAGTTTATAAATGTTACTGACGTTTCCATCCATCAGGTAGAGACCAAAACCCATGACCTGAGTGAGAAGGGGCAGAGCACAGAGCCAGTCACGTCTGATGGAAAAGTTTCACAAAACCCAAAAAAAGTAGGTCTGTACATGTGTACGCACACCACACACCCACCGCCTGTAGCTACGCCTTCTATTACAAAACCCCTGTGTGCCTTCAAATAAAGAAAGCACACATAGGTCTAATTTCAACCCAAAATCTGATTTCTGTGAAGATATGCAGACGGCTCCTTAGTCTATTATTGCGGCGGCCACTGCCTGAGTCCTAACTATGGGCCTGAGTCCGCACTTAGGGCTTTCACGGGCATTATCCTTAATTCTCACGACGGCCTTGCAAGTCAAGTCCAACACAATAACTTTGTTCATAGGTGAGGACTGGAAGACACAGAGAGGTCAGACAGCTTGCCAAGGTCACACAGGGGGAAAGCTGCAGAGTCAGGATGCGAGCCTGGGCCTGTCCAACGACAACATGTTTGCGCCCAGTTCCTGAGAGGAAGGACTGACTGGTGTACCGCTGCATCCCTGGGGTCCGGCGTATCTCGGGCACCTGAGGAACGCTTGCCCAATGCTGAATGACTGTAAAACTATTCACCTCTTTCCCCAAGGAAACAGTAATAATGTAAAGATTCCTGAGGAGCCCCTGGAGATTTATTTTTAAAATAAGAATACTTTTTTTTTAATGTTTTCCTGACAATGTTTAATAAGCAGGTTGACAAATTCCTGATATTCCAGTCCATTTAATAGTTCCCTGAAGGTTGGCTTGATCTTTTAGTCAAACATACATGGAGCCTCCCTTGGCTCACAGTTGCTATGTGACCATGGGCAAGTCACATCTGGCACGTAAGGGAGTGAACTAGAGGACTGTTAAGGCCGCTTCTCCCTTAGCAGTCGCATTGTGTGGTTCCGCGGGCTGAGTGCCAAACTTTTCTGTTAAGGGTGAACAGCGTTGCTTAATGGCATCTGTGTGCACTGACAAACTACAGAAACAAGAAATGGCAAAACTGTCGGCGCCAGGCTGAAGACGCAGAAAATTGAGAAGGAAGAAGGTTAAGAAGTTGTGATGGGCAAAGATTAAAGGCAGATGAGGGAAAAGGAAGGCCCGAGAATTTGATGGCAGCATCTAAGGGTGCTTGTGGACTGGAAATGAGTACCCTAGTTTGTGGAAGCAGCAATTCTGGGGAGAGCTTCGGTAATTGTCTGGGCATAGCACTGGGCCTGAGAGAGGCCATGTGACCTGTCTGGATCTCTGACTGTGCCGAGGAAGCCAGAGTGAAGGAGTCACAAAGCCACACTGCCCTGCAAGCTCCATCCAGGTGCTACAGAAACGTAAAGAAGGGAAGAGCAAAAGGCCTGGGATGCTTAGAATAGCAAGAGTGACATGGAGGAGAAAAGGAAAAAATATAACCACCAGGAGAGCTTGAAAGGTGAGGTTCTGGGGAAGAAAGAATACACACACAGTGTATATGAAGCATATGGAGGTTGGCCCTGGCAGGGTAGCTCAGTTATACCAAGGTTGAGGGTTCAATCCCCAGTCTGGGCACATAGAGTCAACCAATGAATTCATAAATAAGTGGAACAACTAAGTTGATCTTTTCTCTCTCTCTCCCCCTTCCTTTCTCTCTCTAAGAATCCATGAGAAAAAAAAAGAGTTCTTACATTAAAAATAAAAAAAAAAAATGGAGGTCGTTCATTTCAGTACTATCGCTGTCAGAAAACAATGAGAAACATTCTAAGCAGCTAACAATAAAATAATGGCTAAAAAAAAAGCTTATCCAATGACATTATTTAACAGCTGCGTAATATTCCAACACATTCAATGAAAAGGGATAAAACTGCACATACATAATTTATGTATCCTGCGTATGTTGAAAACATGTAAACATAAAAAAATGAGAAGGAAATACACTAAAATGCTAAAAGTGTTATCTCCGGATGGAAAGACTATGAGAGATTAAAACTTTTTTTGTGCTTCTCTGTAGGTTTCAGATTTTCTACAATAATAAATATACATGGATAATTGAAAAATTAAACTTGATGGATCAAATGTGATGATTTTGGCAAAACAGAGCAAATGCACGAAGATTTTGCCTTCCCTTTGGGTCGGTAGTCTCTCCTCCAGGAAGTCTGACTTGACCAGCGTATGTACACAAACGCTGTGCTGGAAGAGGGGTCAGTGCCGATTAGCAAACACACACCCAATGAGAGGGGATTTGTTAAATAACAACGTCCCCATACAATGGACTACTTAGCAGCCATTAAAAATTACCCTGCAGAAACATCCTTAATCATGTCTGGTTTAAAGGAAAAAAACCAGGTTACAAAACACTATGTGCAGTAAGCTCTTTATCAATGTTTACGTAAGAAAAATAAATATTGTTTTTAAAAAAAAATGATTTTAAGTAAGAAGGAGGTGAGAGGGTGAGCCCAGGCCCTGGGGGCACGTGACCAGAGGGGTCGTACCTTGAGGAGCATGTGCTTCTCGCTGGGGGTCAGATACATCTTGTTCTCGTAGTAATCCACGCAGATGTTGACAATGTCCGCCAGCAGCTCCTCATAGCCTGGGATCACTTCCAGTTGCTGATGCAGACACTACACAGCAGCGCCCCCCTCTGGTTAGCCCCTCTCCTGCGCCCCCTCACCCACACCACCGCAGAAGTGACAGTGGGTGCTCCTGTCACCACCCCCGGCCTGCCCCGCCGCAGCGCCCGCGCCAACTGACCCTGGGGGAAGGAGAGCCTGCATCCTCTCATTGCCCCACGGTGGCTGGTCTGGGCTCCCGCACATGCCCAGGGCAGGGAACCGGCTCCCCTCGGGGCCCTCTGTTTTATTTCCTGGCAGCTTTGGTGGTGAGAAAGGACTTTCTTGGGCTGAATTGAAAAGCAGTTCAGCTGGGCAGCAAAGGCCTGTAGCAGTCTCGGTTTGGTGTTGAGGGTGTGGACTTAGCCACGATGTCTCCTCAGATGACGGGCGATGACCCAGCCCGGTGGAGGAGAGTGGGCCCCCAGGAGTCTCCCTCCTGGAGGGACACAGCGGTACAGAAACACTTCTCCTGAGAGAAGGGCCTGACAACAAGGGGCTGCGTCTCCAGGAAAGAAGCCTGGAGCCTCAAAGCCGATGGCCTTTTTTTGCATTTAACATAGAGTAGGGAGCCCAGCGAAGACGGAGGGCCCCATTCAGCCTGGGTCCTGCTGACATTCTTGTGGTGTCTGTTTAGGCTGAACTGACAGACGAGCAAGACAGATTACGATAAGTCAGACAGAGCGTGAGAGCCACAGCAGAGGGGGCGGGCCCTGGCCAAGCAGCGGCAGTGATCAGAGCTACTGCATCTCATGCCCTCGCCATTTGTCAGGCTCTGCCTACGGATGGCCTTTTATACAGTATCTCATTTATTTCTCACAATATCCTCAAAAAACACAGCCCCATTGGACAGATGACAAAATGAGGCTTACACCTTGCCCAAGGTCCCATAATGGGTCAGTGAAAGGTCCAGGGTTAGAAAACAAGGCTGTTTCTCTCCAGAACCCAAGCCCTCAGCCTATGCTAGTGGGCGGCAGGGTACTGGCTGAGAAGGTTTTTAGGGAACAAAATCCGGAGAAGGTGAGGGCATTTGTCAGCGGGTGGGAGGGGAGACTTAGGTCTGCAGCCTAATTCTTGAGCAGGGCAGCGGAGGGGGGCGGGTGTTGGGTGAGGTCTGGGCTGAGCTCCCCGGCTCGTGGTCCACCCAGCCTCGGGCCCTGCCTGTGTCCTGGGCGCCAGAACCGACAGGGAGGTGGCCCTCACCTGGGTGATCCTGTTGTGGTTGGCCAGGAACATGGACAGGTTCTGCGACTCCTGGATAGACTGGGGGTCCGCCATCTTCCTCAGGAACTGCGCAGCCCTGGAACACGCGTGTAGCACAGAGGAATGCTCAAGTGGCACCGCTTAAACAGGGCTCCCGGGTCCCTCCCCAACCTGACCCGGAGCTACGCCACCCCTGGGGTTAACGAGTCCTGACATCACCGGCGACTAATGTCAAAGTAGGATGTGTTCTGGAGTCATTTCATGGGGGGCTGTTTACACCCTTGTGATAAGGGCACCTGAAATCCAGAGGCAGGAATGCCCTGAAGCTCAAACTCCAAGTTTAAGGTCAGCTAGCGTCCTATCGACCAGCTGGAGGTGGTAAGACGGAGCTAAATGAACATCCTCGGGCCTTGCTGTGACCTCCAGTGAAATGGCCCTGTCAGTCACGGAGCAGAACCACAGGCAGGAGGTGCTGTTTTTTTGTGTATTAAGTTCTTTACTGGAAAATCTCACTGTTTCTAAGGCAAAGCGTTACCCAGAAAACCGAAGTCCATTCAACCCATCGGGATTACAGGTGAGGGGAGATGGGTGTGGGGAACATTCACAGGACTTGAAAGGAGAAAACCGCAGTGGCCCAGACTTTCCCAGCCTAACCTGGTGGCGGTACGGCCTGACAGTCACAGCACAGACGAGACTGTGCCCCACTCACGACTCCAGCCAGCCCGCGGCGCAGGTCGGCTGTGACCACGATGGAAGCAGTTGGGGAGAAATTGGGGGGCGATATTACGCTATGAGCTGTCTACGAACCTCTGTGAAAGGTGCCATTTCTGAATCAGGCTGGAGATGGGGCTCTGCCCGCTGGACACCTCCAGGGCTCACAGCTCACTTAGGAGGGTGACAGGTAGAGAATCAGTCTGCTGTCTGCTTTCTCCTGTTACCCTGGAGCCTCAGGACGATGTGGTTCAAGGAGGAAGAGCCCTTCTATCAGGGACACAGAAAATCCGTCCCAAGGGCTATGTCCAGACAACATAGAGAAAATCTGTTGCTTTTGACCCCCTACCCCACTTTTGGGTGGCTGTACCTTAATTTCTAGAGAGGAACGGCCCCTTCTCCACTCTCAGTCCTTTCTTGTGAGCTGACACTGACCCCCAAGTGACCCCACAGGCAGGCGAGTACCTGTCCAATCAAAGCCCCCACCCACCACAGTGACGGACGAAGGACCTAGCACAGGACCAGGCTGGAGGGATGACAACCCTCCCTGGGACTTTTGCAAAAGTATTTACAAGCAGGAGCACCCTGTCCTTCCTTTGAAGCTGGGGTGGTTATGCTGGCCCGAGGGAGGCCACCCCAGGGCCAATCCTGCCAGAGGATGAGCTCATATCGAGGAAAGTCGAGGTGAGAGGTCGGGGGGAACTAGACCAACATCCTCTGAGTACCCGCATCTGGGTACACAGGGGCTTCTCAGTTCTGAGCCAATCCATCCCTTCATTCACAGAAGCAGTTTGCCCGGGCTTTCTGATGTTTGCAGGAATGACTAATGTGACCCTGTATGATGATCTTGTGGTCCTGTACCTCATGAGACAAGAGAAGAGGCTGCTGTTCCATGGGCGGGGAATGAGGATCTGATTTCACCTTGAGACAGAAAACCCTGCAAAGACCCAGTTCTCCCAGGACCCAGCCCTGCGCCTCATCCTCAAACCACAAAAACAGGTCCTGTGGCCTTGGGGAGCAGCTGGTTGGGTTCTGGAGAAGGAGCCTGCGGGGAGAGCTCCATCCTCTTCCTCCCCTAAGCCAGTGACCCAGGAAGTGGGTGAGAGGAGGGGGCGGTGCTAACCTCTTATAGGCAGAGTGGTCATTCTTGACGCTGCACTTCATATTCTTCAGCTCGTCCAGGACGGCGAACATGTTGATGAACTTGCCCAGGGTCAGGAGGTAGGCTTCAGAGACAAAGTCCTTCCTCCGTTCGGCATGACACAGCCGCTTCACCTCACTGCAGAACCGCTCGATGGCCTTGCGCTGTAGGAGCAAGGGGGACGCGTGTAAGGACGGGGCAGCCGGGGGGTGGGCAGCTCGCTACACTCTTGGGTGGGGAGCAGGGTCGAGGCTCCCCTGTGGCCCTAGTCAGAGCTGGACATTAAGACAAAGGCAAAGCCACCGGGAGCTCTTCCTCAGAGGATTCCCTAAACCCAAAGCTAATTTTTCAAGGGAAGCCTGGAACCCTTCCTGTCCTCCCACCTCAAGTGAGTTGAACCAATATATTCATTAGTCACACCTTTGCAGAGAAACATCGTGCGTTACTCAGGCTGTATTCTAGCACCTAGGACAGTGCCAGGCACCAATATGGTGGCAGAGACCAAGAGTAAGAGAGACATTCAGAGAAAGAGGTCCGTTCATCCAATAAATAATATTTACTGAGTATCTACTATGCACCAGGTACCGTTCTAGGCACTGGGGTAAAGAAAGGAACAAAACTTGGGGAAAAAAATCTCTACCCTAATGGGCTTATATTTTAGTGAGGGAAGACAGAAAACAAACTCCTTCTGCACATTGCAATGCGATGTATGCTATGGAGAAGAATAAAGCAGGGAAGGGAGTAGGGAGGGCGGTTGCCTAGAACTGGGGCGGACGGGGGTACAGTGGGCGATAGTAAAAGAATATGGGATTTCTTTCTGGGGGGATGAAGATGTTATAAATCGACCCTGGTAATGGACATACAATTCTGTGAATGTACTAAAACATCACTGAACTGTCCACTTTACAGGGAGGAATTACATGGTCTGTGAATTATAGCTCAATAAATCTGTTACCAAAGAAAGCTATTGAACGACAATCACAAAAAACTGGGCTCAAGTGTAATCCAGAGAGGAAGAGGCAGAAGAAGAGGAGAAGAGGGGAGAGAAATGACTCCTCTTGTGGGCGCTCTGCTCCTCCGGGTGGGATACCCCACCGGCCAGGAATTCCTCTCCTGCCACGACCAGTCCAGGCCACGCTTTCTCCTTCTAGAGTCCAAGTCCAATGGCACTGACAGAATGATGGAAATGTCCTGAGTCTACAAAGCCTAATATGAGAGCCACTCATCACCTGTGGCTACTGCGCAACTTGATGGCTAGGGCAACGAAGGAACTGAATTTTACATTTTATTTCATTTTCATGAGTATAAATAGCCACATGGAGCCAATGGCTACTGCACTGAACAGTGCAGTTCTAGATGATACCACACCTCCGTTTCTGTTGCTGGGAGGCCCTCCGCTTAGCACTTATTGGTTTCTGGATAGTTTTTCTCCCTTGGATCTGCCTCCCTAATGAGATTTTAGGCTCCTCTAAGGCAGGTCCATGATGCTAATAACAGCAGCTCTGATGTGTTAAACCTGCCCTGTAACTAGGGTTCAACGTGACTCTTTATAAACCAACCTCTTGTCCTCACCACAAACCTGTGAAATGGGTATTATTTCCAAGGTGAGAAAACTGAAGGTGGCAGAGATGCTAAATGACTCACAGGCACACAGGCACAGTGTGGCAGAACGTTGGGGCCTCGCTGCCTCCGAAGCCCGCGCTCCCGCCCTGGGCTGCACCCACCTCACCCTCCCAAGCATTCTGTCTCCCGCCCCCAGGAGGCCAGGGCGGAGCTGGGCGGACATTTGGCCAGGGCGTGGGAGTCTGTTTATGCCGCTTAGCTCTGCAGTGGAGCCCGCGCAGGGCACGGCGAGTAACAGGACTCCTGCCCCAGAGCACGGGCTGGTCTTGAAGTGCTCAGCCTCCGTTCCCGGACAGCTTCCGACACGTGCATAATAACCAACCTGTTTGTGTTATATTTCCTTTGTTATTTCTGTTTAACCGGCTTGTCCTCTTTTTTTTTTTCTTTTTTTCTTTTTAAACTAGCCTGCCCTCTTGAAAGCCCATGGCTGTCTTTTCCCTTTTCCTCCTTTAAATAATCACTCTTCCTGGCTTCCCAGCTGGTCTCCCCACTCGCACGCCTGTCCCCTCTCGCCCCTCACATCTGTACTGCCCCCACCTCCCCTCCATTCCCCACCCAGCAGCCAGATGTTGTAAAACCTCAAAATAGAGCGCATCACTTGGAAACCTCCAGCGGCTTCTGTGGTGCTTACGTAAAATCTCCATATTCTTTTCACGTCTTCCTCCGTGCCCTACATGACCGGGCCCCTGGCTACCTCTCTGGCCTCCCCTTTCGTCACTCCTCTCCTCACCCCGCAGCCTTCCTCCCGTTTCTGAAACCCGCTGGGCTCCATCGGGCCTCAGGGCCTTGGCCTTACAGTCCCTTCTGCCTGGAACCCCCTTCCCGGGATCACCACACACCGGCCTTTCCCAACGCACAGACCTCAGTTCCAATGCCACCTCCCGAGAGGTCGTCCCTAGAGCCGTGCCAGGTCACAGACACCCTCTAGCCCACAGATTTCTAAAATGTTATTTGATTCACAGCGCACACGGTACCCTGAAAGTTACTGTGTATTGTTTATCGTCAGTCTCTCCTCCTGCCTGGAACACACCAGTATGCTCCCTAGGATGGAAATTACGTGGAGGCGGAGGGGCCGGTCCACCTTGCTTGCGCACCCTCCCCCCACCTTGGGGTACTCAACAATATTTGCCAAATGAATAAGCGATGTGGCACAAAAATCCAGACCCATGTGTCTAGAAGACTGGGGGCCTTCCCAAGTCTCCTGGTCCAGATTTCCCCGCCCTCCTCACCTGAAAGTACATGAACTTCATGAGCTTGGTGACCTCTGGCTCCAGCACCTCCACTGTCTTCTCATAAATCTCCACTCGGTTGGGCTGCTCGTTGCATTTCACCTGTGGGGAGAGGGGGTTTCAGGCAGCCTGAACGGCGCACACAGTCCTGCGTCGCGCCCCTTTTCACTGTCTGATGCGCCTCATCTAGGATGATAACTGATAAGGTCATCTTAGTGACAGGAGGCTGGGGTAGGCCTGGCAGGTCTGACAGGGGCAAAATTGCTCGCTGGACATTGGCAGGAAAGAAACCAGGTGGTCTCAAGAACAGAACCCTCCTCCCCTTCAGTCTGTTCTGTACTGTGCCCAGGAGCTGTACCCATGTCTACGTTTATCTGCGAGGTCTCCCTCCTTCAGCCTTTTCCTCACTCTGACCCCAGAGGGGCCCCGCCAGATTCTCTGCAGAGAAAAACGTTCCGTCCACTGCTCTGGAGACACCCGGCCATACTTGGGCCCACCCTGAAACCCACGGTCTCTTCCCATGGTTTCAACACATCAGAGCCCCCTGGCACATGTTTTCACGGCATGCACACCAATGACAGCTAACAGGGTGACCGAAACCGTCACCCTGTGACAGTGAGAAACTGTCGCCAGCGACGAAGACTGAGCGAAGGGTAAGCACAAGATCGCTCTGTACACAGTTGTTTAGAAATTCTTAAAATAGGAGCAACAAGCTCAGTATCTGTGAGTTGATGATTGAATGGATAAAATATGATGCACTCATTCAATATCATTAGGTAACTGTCACCAGGGATGAGACAGCTCTGTGTCAACTAACACGCAGAGGCTGCTGCCATAAACTGACAAGTGAAAACTGTGACAGGACAGCAAGTGTAATTCAACCTCATTTTTGTTAAACAAAACACAAAACAAAGCTGTGTGTGTTTGTGTGTCCATACATATTATAGACAGAGAAAGTCTGAAAGGGTGCAAACCAAACTGTTAATATGCAGTTAGCCCTGGGGGCTGGGATTGGAGGGAGAACAGGTTCCCTTTACACATCTGTGCCTCGTTGATTTTGTTAAAATGGGACTCGTGCATTAGGTGATGATTACCAGTATAATGATGGTAACGTATTATCTGTCTGTGCTAACACACATACAAAGAGTATGTTAATAAATGCCAGTGATAAAGAATAAGGCGTAAAAAAAAATCAAGTGGCAGAACGATACAAGAAGCAACACGCTTTTGTAAAAATTATTTATGAATAATCATAGAAATATTCATGATACTCAATGAAAAAGACCCAGGCGAACAGCAGCAAAGTGCCTATAGTGACTATTCTCTGTTGGGAGGATGGGGTGGGGAGGCGGTAGGGATGTCTTGCTTTTTGCTCTATACCTTCCTGCAATGTGTTGGGTGTCATACAGCTAGCATTTACTGTTTTCCAAATAAAACAGATTGAATGAAAACTTCTTTAGGTTGGAGTCAGTTTTACGGGAAATTCTCTGAGCGTCCTCGGCATACCCCCTTGGACTAGAGGCCCCCTGCTTTGCGCCCTGCCACCTGCAGAAACTCAGCTCCCTGAAAGGAGGGGACGTGGAGGGTGGTGGCGCCCCCTGGAGGCAGGAGGGCCACCAGGTAAGGAGAGCCTCACCTGGGGGATGGCCCGGGAACAGCTGCGCCAGGTGTACAGCATGACTGCATACTCGTGCCCTTCCTCCAGCATTTCATTCTGAAAAGCAAAACACGCTCATGAGGGAGAGACTGCGCTGGGGCCACAGGGCTGCTCAATAGCCCCTCTGTCCTCACTACCCCGGGTGGCCTGTGGACCAGCGGCATCACCATCACCTGGGCGGCTTACTAGAAATGCAGAGCCTCAGGTCGCCACCTGGGCTTAGGGACTCAGAATCTGCATTTCAGTAACATTCCCAGGTGACTCGCCCTGCCAGGTGCACAGTGAGCTTGAGAAGCACTGGCCTAGATTATTCTCATCGGACGCCAAGGGCTCGGTAAGGAGGCCATATTTTTCATAGGTGGCCATCTTATAAGCCAGGAAGCAGGTGTATTTGTTCCAACATCAAAAGTTGTCCCAGATACTCCGTTAGCAAGAAAATAAACGAGTCACAAAAACAGTATGTACAGCAGTTAGGCTAAAAAAACAAAACAAAGAGTAATCATTATAAAAATATATCGCTGGATATTGAAAGATCTTTTGGTGGAATGTGCACCAACCTAGGATGAGCCAACTCTCCAATGGGGCTGGACAAACAGGAGCGCTCACTTGTCTTGCTGTACAGTACCGTAACGTTTGCACTTTTTAGAAGAGCTCGTGTTACTCTTTCGTAAGCAGGAAAATGGTTCGAACCCATTTTTAACATAATACAGAGCAGATCATGAAACCGACAGCAGCATGGAAAGTAAATCTGAAAAAAAACGCAGTGATGCAACCGCATTTTCCCCCTGGCGGATGCTGCTGTGGAAGGAGCCCCGAGCGCAGGGCCCAAGTCTCTGGGCTCGAGTCTCTGCGTCATCACGCGGTGGTGCCCAGGAAACTGCTGAACCTAAGACTCTCCACTTAGTGACAACGACAAGAACCACCTCAGAGAATTTTAGGAGGATTAAATGGAATAGAAACAGGTGTACGCATGTGCGCGCACACACATATGCTGTGTAATCTGTAAAAAGGGGGAAGAGTATTTCTAGGGAAAAAAATGTCTGGCAGTTTCTCAAGAAGTTAAGCGCAGAGTTGCCATATGACCCCTTTATGATGGGATGAACTGTGTCCCTCCAAAATTCCTGTGTTGGAGTCCTAACCCCCAGGACCTCAGAATGGGACTATATTTGGTGGCAGGGCCTTTAAAGACAGAGGTAATTAAGTTACAATGGTCCCTAGGGTGGGCCCTAATCCAGTCTGACTGGTCTCCCTTTAATAAGAGGGAATTTGGACACAGAGAGACACCATATGTGCGTGCCCACAGAGGAAAGCCCACGTGAGGACACAGTGAGGAGGTGACCATCTACGAGCCAAGGAGAGTGGCATCTGGGGAAACCAACCTGTTGACACCTTGACATTGGACTTCCAGTCCGAAGACACAATGACAGAACTGTGAGAAAATATATTCTGTCCTTGAAGTCACCCAGTCAGTGGTATTTTGTTATGGCTGCTCTATCAAACGAATATACCCTCTATTCACTGACCTTATCTAATTTTCCATAAATATCACAGAGAATTTCCTTATATGTATCTTACAGTCCAAACCCAGGCAGTCTTTGAAAATTTTTGCCCCTTTGCCTTTGCTCATGCTGGTTCCACCAGCTGGGATAACAGAGTTCAGAGGAAAGAGGTCAGGACTGGGGAGCAAAGTCCTGGATTCCAGCTGCAACCCTGTGATTTCCTAGTTGTGGGATTGTGAGCAACTTGCTCATTAACTTCTCTAGATCTCAGTGTTCTTATCCCCGAAAGGGGATAATGATCTCCTTGCAAGTTTCAGGGCTGTTACAGGCTCCAATGATGAGCGGGTGAGCATACCTTACACACTTTAAAGTACCATATATATAGGTTATAATGTAATGCATGTGTATTTACATATGTTATATATACATACATATAATTGAAGTCACTTCCTTCACCAAGCTTTCTCTGACACTCTCAAGGCCCCTTCAAACACAAAGTACTTTGTACTTTTGACCTTTGATTTGGGGCATTCTTATTTGTCGGCAAAGAGCAGTCCAGAGCCCAGGTTTTATAGTCACGCAGACCTGGGTTTAGCTGTCACTTTTCAGCAGCAGAACCCCATGTAACTTAACTTTCCTGGACTTCGGTTTCACCATCCATAAAATGGGTATTGTAAGAGAACCTACCTCACAGGGTTGAAGTGAGGACTAAAAAACCCACTTTAAAACATCTGCAGAGAAAGTCTTTGATAAATGGTAAGCTTGTCAATTTCCTACCTGACTCACTGAGAATCAAGGAGCCCTAGTTCTCCTTGTATCCTTTCCCCCGGACCCCAGCATTTACCACAGGCTCTGCAGGGCCCAGGTGCACATATTTATTAAGTGAATGGGCAGGGTATGGCAAGATCAGGTCAGAACATAGCTGAGGTAGTGAGAAAGGTCCACAGGGATGCGGGCATAGGCTGTGAACAAGGAGTCTGGAATGCCTCCGATTTCAGCACTGCCTGAGAGTACAACCCACAAAAGCCCAAGAGGGAAGGCGCGAGCCCTCACAGACGGGTCAGAAACTCAACCCGCGAGACAGCTGGCCCCGCTGCGAACGATTTAGGTCACCAGCTTCCTCAAGCCAACAACGAATGCCATTCCAAAGCCACTGTCCCTTTTTATGAGAAACCTTTTGTTTTGCTTAAGAGACAAAACTCCACACAGCCAGTAATCTATAAAGTATAAAACAAGGCAGGCTCTAATCACACGTTAACCTAAAAGGTTATGTACGCTCAGAGAAGTGAATGGTGGGGATAAAGTTGAGCCCTAAAGGTGAGGAGGGCTGGCAAGACTGGCAGATGTAGGCTACGGCTTGGTCCTCGGCACTGAGGGGATGGGCCTCAGCAGATGGGTCTGATGGAGGCTGGGGGCCCCCGGGATGGCTGAGCATGTGCCCCTGGCGTGAGAAGCTGCCCGCGGCCCTGCCCGCCCCGGCAGGGTCAGAGGCTTACCATGCTGGAGTGGACCGTGGCCTGCTCAATGTACCTTGCAATGCCTGTGACAAAGGCATTCCTGTCCTCGAAGTTTGTGTCGAAGTTAGCCTGTGGGAATCGGAGGACAGGAACATTCGGTTATTGGAGAACAGGTCCCAGGTGGCTGGGTGCCCGGGGGACAAACTGCTGCCAACAAATGCCACCAGTTCCCTGCGGAAAGCTATGTCCCCATCAGCCTCTCATCTTCCCCCCAAATCCCACGCTGTACCACACAAGGCGGGGGCGGTGCGGGGCCGGGGGGGGGGGTGCCGCCTACAGGCGGGGCCCACATCCGCTTCCCACCAGGTTCACCTAGCGGGGCCCTGAAGTGAATGCTTACTTACACTTTACACGCCTAACAGCTGCTGAACGTTAGATGTGCGCGGCTTTCACCCAGCGTATGCAAAAATACTCTCCTGAGCGTGCACATACGTACATGTAAGGGTAATAACTGCAGCATTTTTGTGACAGAAAACACTGGAAATCATTCCAATGTCCATTAACAGTGAAAGGCTACATAGAAAATAGTATATCCATACAATGGATTTCTATGTACTACATGGTGGTTAAATATAATGTGGTAGCACTGTAGTATTGTCAGAGAAAATATCTATAATAAATTTTAAGTTAAAAATGCCAAATCAGCCCTGGCTGGCGTGGCTCAATGTTGGCCTGCAAACCAAAGGGTCAGCAGTTCGATTCCCAGTCAGGGCCCATGTCTGGGCTGCCGGCCAGGTCCCCAATAGGGGGCACGCGAGAGGCAACCACACACTGATGTTTCTCTCCCTCTTTCTCCCTCCCTTCCTCTCTAAAAATAAATAAATAAAATATTTTTTTAAAAATGCCAAGTCACAGAGCAATATCTATAGTATGATGCCCCCATTATATTAAAAAATATAAACATATGTATGGTAAAAAGAGACATGTGTGGGTATATACACACACACACATATATATATATAGACATAGTTACAGGGAAATTTTTATTATACTTTTCTGTACTACTTGTAATAAAAAAGGTATTTATATAATTAAAATTTAATATGGGTTAAAAAATGTGAATAAACCAAGTTTATGAGTTGAACCTTCAGGCATGTGTTTCATAAATCTAACCATTGAATGAAATTTAAAATACATTATGCATTTATATTTAGTCTGATTTAGCAGTCCGAGAACTTCCAAAAGGTCAAGAACAGCTAAGAATTTCAAATTATCTTATTCTTTCTTGGCGTGGCATACTTGCCCTGCAGACCCAGACCAGGGGCTGTTTGCGCGGCAGGATCCGGCCGTGTCCCCCCCATGCCCTGGTGACCATGGTTTTGACCCATCTGGCCATGGTGGGCAAAAGCAAACAACTGTGACGGGCTTCCCTGGGCCATTAGCTGCTGTGGGAGCTGAAGAGCTCTTCTCACATACATGAAGGAAAAGTAATTACCCAGGCAGGCTCTAGGGGTTTCTAAATTGCAATATTTAATTCATGAGATCAGAGCTGCCAAAGCCTTGGTTGGTGCTGCAGCAAGAACAACCGGGAAGGTATTTGGGGTCAGAGCAGATCAACAAGCCTCCCCTGGGGAGGAGGAATAGCTCTGGTGTACATTTACTAGCTAATCTATTCCTTACACTCAGCTCCATCAGCGCACCAGGGACTCCATCAGCTCACGACCTTTCACCTCCTAGATGCAGACCTACCCCTTCCCCCTGCCTTCAAAGCAAACCCTCGTGGGGGGTCCCCAGAGTTCCTGAGCCCCCCGGAGCCTGGGGAGAATTGACCTGGTACATGATGGAGGATGGCGGAGGCTCGATGCATGGCTGCTGGTCAGGGAGGGGCAGCTCTTCCAGCAGGTCTACGTTGGACAGGGCATCTTCCAGGGTCACGTGGGTCGTCATGGCTGCCGTTTCTGTTTTGCTCACTGAGAGAAAGAAGGAGAAGCGCAGTGAGGAATTTCAGAGGTCTCCAAACGCTTCTCTCAATCTTACCCTGTCCAGGCTCCTTTCAGAGATGAAAGGGAGGTGATATGCATTGAGACCACGCTTGCTATTTCTTCAGAAGGTGCCCTCAATCTGCAGCTGATAGTTGAGGATCTCTTCATAGTTCACAAAGCACTTTTATGTCTATTACCTCGGCTGAGCTGCCCCACAACGCTCTGTGATCGGCATGGTAGGTGGTATCATATCCACACAGCTGACGAAGAAACAAGGCTCAGAGAGATTGTATGACACCCACACAAACAGCGACCAAAGGCAAAGGACTTCAAATAGTGCCTGATGCCAGGACACAGGCCACGGTCAGCCCCCACCTTTGGTTCTTTATATGAATATTTATCAGTTCCATGCTTAAAGTATTGCACAGCACAAATACCTGTGATTGCAACAGCGAAGATTATCCCCCTGAAACCAGAGCCTAGGTTTTACAAGCTAATTCAACTGAGACGAACAGAACTCAGACTCCAGCGATGTTGACCTTACTTGCAAAAATGGAAGAACCGCCATCTTCCTTGGCCTGGGTGTGTGTTGTGGGCCACACCAAACAAGTCAGCCCTGAACGGACATTTTTGCGTCTGGGATGCTGGCAGAGTACAGTGTCTCCAAAGACAACTGGAAGCCAGTGAAACTGAAGAGGATCTGAACAGCTTAGTTATCTAACTCATTTCTTCTTCAAGAAAACTGAAATGTTGGGACAAATGGATCATAACTTAGGCCACCACGTTCTCCCAAACATGATCTCCTAGCAGTCACGTTCACCGATCAGAGTGCAATAAAATCAGAAATGCATAACGCAAATAATAGCAAAAAACAAAACAAAAAACAAGCCCCATACCTCTGGAAATTTATAAAAACACACTTCAAGGTTATTTATAGCTAAAGAGAAATTCAAATAGAAATTACAAAATATTTAGTACTGAAGGATAGAGAGCATGATAAATGTTCTAAGTGCATTTAGTAGAAAATAGAAAAGTGAAACTAAATGAACTGAATTTTCCATCCCAAATCTAAAGAATAAAAATCAACCCATAGAAATGAGAACATAGGGATCTATAACAAAGAAAACCAAAACAGACGAACACTAGATTAGATAAACAAAAATCTAAAAACTGTTTTATAAGATTAATAATAAGCCAACCTGTGGGCGCCGCTGAATGAGGAAACAGAAGGCCCACTGTGCTGTCAGAGGGCCTCCCTCCCACCCCCAAGCACAGCAAGGTGTGAGACGTGCTTGCTTAAGGGCAGGAGTACTATGAGCATCACAGAACTGACTCCCCCATGGGGACACGAGGACACGTGGTGTCAGATCGCAGGGAGAAGGGGACCAGGGACAGGAGAACTGGGTTAGGGGCTGACACAGCTGGCGTGCACACAACAGCTTGCTGCCCCTAAACCCGTGTCTCCGTTAGGCCTAGAGCTGTGAGGGCAGATGGGGCTGAGCAGCTAACGATGATTCATACTTCACTGAGTTCTCGCCACACCCCCTGCCCTGCTCTGTGGCAACAGCCAAGGCCACATCCAATGAGGGCACAGGGCGCTCAGAAGTGACTCCCCACCTCCGCCTTTTGCAGCCACCTGGCCTCGCTGGGAGGTTTCAGGTCCTCCCCACACCTATGCTTCTTCCTCTTCTCTCTTCTCCCTCCTGAATGCTAAGCGTGGCACTCAGCAAAACCATTTGCCAATCCACAGAAAAGATAGCCTTCTTTCTTACATTAATATGAAGTCTATTTTATAGTCTTGGCAGGAGGGGTTAATGATTTTATGGGGCATAATGATCTATAAGCTCCACAGCCCTGATAATGCTCTTCATTAATGTAAATAATAATAAAACTAAACATTTTTAAGCCCTTACCCTGTGTCAGACACTCTGCCACACACTTGGCTATTTTAATCTCGCATCAACACCATCAAGGTGGGTACTATGGTTATTCCCACTCTAGAGAGGAGCAAACAGAAGATCAGAATTTAACTGCACAAGATCAAGTGCTGGCAAGGGGGGAGCTGTGGATAGAACCTAGGTTTGTCCTCTTAAAAAGGCCTAGAAGCAGCCATCTATAAATACTGGGTTGTTTTAAAGGGACCCAGGAGCCAATGGGAGGCAGCTTCCACTGGCCAAAGATGGGTCATGTGAGCACCGCTTAGCATAACTCTCTGGATTTGAAACAATATTAAATATGTTTAAATCCATGAGATCATAAAGATCCTTGATAAAAACTCAGGTTGTATTACTTTATTACAGTTGGAGGATCCCTGTGAACCAGCTTTTATGTTGAAAAATCAATAAATAAAAGGAAAGAAGCAAACATGTAACCTGTTTTTCCCATATAGACTACACAGCTGGAAAACCGAATTGCCAAAGAGAGAGCTGTTTCTTTCTATTCTTTTTTCCCCCCAGAAATAGCGACAAACTTAAAATATTCCTATTTTTTTCTAACCCCTAATAAACAAATGAATGTAGGTGCTGACCATCAACTGTTACTAAATGAAAGAATCAGACATTATGCACTTCCTGATGGAAAAACACAGCATCACTTTATGAAGAATACTGGACCCAAAATGAAAGACTTGAATCTAATTAAGCTTCTGATACCAACAGACAGAAAACATGGAAGAACACATATGTCACAGTGATGTAATCAGTTAAATATAATCTATGGGAAACTCCATGGGACAAATGAATCAGGGCCTTCATAAATAAATTGTAAAGGAAAATAAAAAAAGAGATGGAGGGGGAAGCTAGAGATTCAAAGACCTTATCTGGGTCTTATTCCAAACAAACCACCATAAAAATAAAATTATCATATTTGTAAGAAAATTGGAAAATTTAATACTGACATAGATATTTGATGATATTAAGGAAATAGTGTTTTTTTTTTTTTAGATTTGACAATAATATACCAAGGTTATGTTTTAAAAGAGTTCTTATCGTCTAGAAATACCTACTAAAATATGGATATAAGGGTCAGGGGTTTGCTTCCAAATGACCCCGACTAGGCAGGGGAAGAGTGGGAATGAGAACAAAATCGGCCATTCAGTGATAACTGTCAATGCTGTGTGATGCTTACATAGGGATTTATTATATTTTCTATCCACTTTTATATACGTTGAAATTTCCCATAAAGGCCCCAGCTCAGTATATGCACTCCCAGTTCTAATTATCTTCCCTTCCTTTATCTTCCCTGATTCCTGTTTGCCATGACCTTTCCCCTCTCCTTTCTCCCCTCTCCATTCTGGGCTTTTGCAGACATCAAAACACTCAGGGAATAATCCTCAAGGTACCCCACCTCAACACAATAATTACCCTGCACTTCCCTTGATGAGAATCCTAAGTGAACAGCCCACAAAGCCAGTAAGTTAGGAGTCTTTGTTTCGTTAATGCAACCTTTCTTTTCTCCTTGGAGATGCAGCTTCTCTAATGGAGTTCTCTGTGTGTTCGTGGATCACTCACTGCCTAAGGGAGAGGGAAATGAGACGTTTTTAACTGAAGTGCTGAAAGCCACTGCCAACTCCGCATCAGTCAGGAAGGAAAAAACATAATCTACATACTGAAGATTTTAAAAGAGATAGACATGGAAATAGGTTACTTTCTGGCCCAAGTGTCCTGCCTGTTATGCAACCTTGCAAACGAGAAGCATTCCTTAGTCTATTTGGACTACGAACACATGGCCATTTTGTCATTTTGGAAGAGAAATTAATAAAATATTTAAAAATAAACAGTGTTCTGAGAGCATCATTTGCCAGACACAGCTGCCACCTCTCAGTGCAGGGTATTCATGGCATATTTAAATTCAGTGTCTTCATAACAAACGCAAACACAGTGGCCTGGAGTCACCAAGACAAGCAATAGCATTGGGCTCATGGACACTTGGCTTCTGAGAAGGGCTTCAGGCCCCACCACCACCCGCAGCTGAGCTGACCCACAGAGCGTAAGCAGGAGGAGGCGAGCCCGCCAAGGGCTCAACGGCTGCAAGGAGAAGCCAGCTGTGGGGGTGCAGGTTCTGACCACCCACACCCCAAACCCCGCCGCTCCGTAAGCAAAAGATCTGCACTGTCATTTTCTGTTTGACATTCTGGAAGGAAAGAGAAAAAAGTAAGGTATTTTTACTGAAGTGGAATTACTAGGCTAAGTATAGTCATTAAGCTTAGGCTCAAATCCGTCCCCTGCCACTTACTAGCAATACAACCTTAAATATGTGACGTAACCTCTCTGAGCCTCGGTTTCCTTATCTGTAAAAGGGTGCTAATTAATAACAGTCCCTGCGCTCAGGGATTTATTCTGAGAACGATACAACGTTGTGGCATGTGGAATGCTTAGCCCAGCAGCAGGGGCAGAGTAAGCACCGGGGAAATAGTAGCTAATCTGGTGGCCTCTTTTTAACAGAGTGGATGAATTAAACAATGCAACAATTCTTCTACAAAAAAGGAAGGCATTATTATTACCACACTAATATCTTGGGTCTATAGATCTTTCATATTGATTTCCTCAATCACAATTACCCGGGAGGTTTGAGAGGGGGCAGGTGTTATTTTTGCTGTTTTTCTCAAAAGGAGGGCACAGTGTTACTGAGAAGTGAAAACTCCCATTCAAAGTCACACGGTCAGCTAGGGGATAGCTTGACTTCCAGTTCTCTGCCCTTTCTTCTAGGCCACACCTGCTTTCCATACCTTTATGAAAGGTACCAGGCACTTCATTTTCCTCCTCTAGTTTAGCTGCCTTTTCCCTCAAGAACAGGACTCTCACAAACTAGAAGGATTAGGTAACTGTCACCTTTGGGTTTCAGGAACATCAAGAGGCCAAGAAATATTGTCCCTGTCTGTCAATCTCTTTAGCTAGAAAGCAACAAAAATAAATAAAAATAAAATTTAAAATATATGTATGTATAAAATAAAATATTACGTAAGTAAATATAAAAAATTTAAAAGGAAG